TAATTTCCACCCCCAAAAAAAGTCATTTCTGCTGAGGTTTAAGTGGTCTCTTCTCTCTGGGAACAGTTGATGGATAATGAAACAGCTGCTGGTGCTCTAATTGTGGCAGCCCCCATACATTACACAGGGGCATAGGGACACATTCAAATAGATTAGAATTAAACTAATGTGGCTGTAATATCTTTTACAGAGGTAAAAAAATTCTGTTTTAACACCAGTCTTGATCATTTCTGAATTTATGGAGCCACTTGTGTAGGCCGTGGTAGGAAGTAACAACACAACAGTACATTGTACTTCAATTTTGAAGTATTTGTACTTTAAGGGAAATATTGTCCTTTTTGCTCCACTATATTTATTTGACAGTTATATTTACTATGTAGTTTTACTATGTTGAGTTATCCTGCAGATAGAGATTTTGTACACAACTAGGAGTGTCATTTGTTTTCTAATGCATGGAACTACCCAGTAGCAGCTCCACATTGACCAACATCAAACTGCTGCACAATACAATTCCTATAATTTAATTTATACCACATTACTATTATAATATAAAAACTAGCCTTATAAAAACACTGAAAGCGACCATTCTGAATTTAAAGTATCACGTGTATTTTTTACACTTTTAAGTAGAATGACATTTCTGCATTTTTCCTTCAGCTGAATTGTGTGTATTTTTAAGTTGTGCTACTTGAATTAAAGACCGTAATTCTTCTGCCTTATTTGTGTGTATAAATACAGTGTATAAACAATACAAACTTCGCATAAACTAAAAAATCTGATGTTCCTATGGCTTTCTGTGTCTCATGTCCAGCTCGCATTGCAGCATGAGGACACAGCGCTGTGGCCAGGCGGTGCAGACTGTAATCCAGATTAGTTCACTTAATCTATGTGCACAACGTGGACACAAACCCGCAAGAAATTAGACCTTTATAGCGTGAACGGCACATGGTTTATTGTCATTCCTCATGAAACACAACATGAATCGACATTTAATTTTATAAATACCCATACAGTGTTGTTCTCTGTGTGGAGACGTTCCATCAACTCACCTCAAAAGGCGCATCGTTCAGCCAACCCCCGCTGTATGCCCGTATCATTAACATTTTATAACAAGATATTATGTTTACCTTTTGATTTCCAGTTGCTCCAAACATCCGTTACAGTCCTTTGGCGCAGGGGGACGCACGACCGTGATGCACCCCGCAGGTTGTGTATCTAACGCACAGAGCTGCGCCTCACTGTCTCAGTCTGTCTGAGATCCAGTTGTAATCGCAACAGGTGGACCCAGGGCGGGAAACCACATCAACATATGGCTCTTTATTGTACGCAGTAACTCTCATTAACAGTTTAATTGTGAATACAGGCTAATCTTAATGGATTTTCTATTATTCGACCCGCATGATGATATCATTTTAATTAAGCCCCTGAAGCCTGGAGATAAAATATACTTAACTATAAATACATTACAGAGTCACTAATGATGCCAAAAGAAACGTGGGGGCATCTGCAGGGATATTATGGTTCTCTGTTTGATGCTGCAAACGGGTCTTTATAAGGATGATGGCATTACAAACTGCTGTCACAGTACACTGTATGGACTCATTCATGTGGAAATACTGTAATGAAGCTGTAGGAGAAATAAATGACTCACATCATTAGAATATTTACTGTAAAGCTCTCATGGCCAGATTTACTTGATTAATTACTTGAAAATTGGCACATTTGGATATGCTTCCACTGCTCATTCAGTCTGTGACTCATTATAACACATATTAGCTACCCTGTGATTTATGTCCAGCTGTGCCACCAACATATTCAGGAGAACTGGGAATCACCATGGCATAAAAAAAAGGCATACATACATTGGAGAAGGCAGTCTCTTATAAAACAATGTAATCGTTATTTGTCATTCTTGTTTTGATGTTCATTTAGAACTAAATTTCCAGTAATATGTTGTAAAATCAAATGCTGAAAAAAGCAAATGATCAGAATTGTATAAATTATCATTTAAAGCTCCATCAATAACATAATACATAAATAATTCAGGTGGCCAGAAACATGACAACAAATGAATGTTGCTCTGATTCTGCAGGATGCAACTGTTTGCCAACCCTTAACCAAAACCACTTTATATGGCTGTGAGGACTTATTCTGCCACCCAGTGGACAACTATTGAGCACTGCAGCTTTAATTATCACAGTACCTGTTCTATTTTCTTCAGAGGCTTAAAAAGATAGTTAGACATTCTGAGAAATACTTTACTTTTTTGCCAGGAGTTGGATACCACTGTCATATCTGTATGCTAAATATGAAGCTACTGCTTTCAGATCGTTAGCTTATAGCTTAGCAGATAGGAGGTAAACAGGCTCTGTCCACAGGTAATATTCATACCATAGCCATACAATACCATATAAAAACATAATATATATAAAATATTGATTGATGAAACTTTAAAGAGCTTAAATACAGCACAGAGCCAGTCATTGACACAGGCATGATGGTACATACACTCTGATGCCTATGGCCACCTGTAAACACAGAAATCTCCGACAGTGTTATCACCTGCAGTGGGTCTTCATGTGTGCATTGACATGTGCCCTGCAAGAGAACATGCAGCCACACATCAGGTGGCTCCGTCTGATGAAGCTCATCCCACTCTGTCCACAGAACTGAGCCCTCTCCCCTGTGTGTGTGAGCCTGTGGCATTTCATCATGCTCAAGAAGGGGAACTTCTTTCCACCGTAGTCACTTATGTACTTGAAATGCACAGTTGTTCAATTGGGCCTGAAAGCTGCCTTATTGCAGCTTCTACTTCCACTTTAACCAGGTTTCTTTGGTGCGTGGGTGTGTCTCTGTCTGCAGTGTGCTGTCTATTTAGGGATAAATTAGAGATGTCAAGTGTCCTTGATGTGGACTGGTTTTCTGATGGATGTAAGATGCTGAAATATGTGAGTGCTGGGGTATCAGGCAGAGTGCTGCCCACAGGAAACTCTCCACAGTCGGTGTACATCTGACACAGAATCCCTTCTTGGAGCTAAAAGCCCAGATTTACATCTCCACCTGGGGTCTGGTGGTCTTGACTTTCTGCTTCACTTTTACTATGAAATCCCAGATCAATTAACTGATCAGCTCTTGGGGAAATACTTAACCGGCACAGGTGTTTCCACAGACTGCCTGTAGTCTGTGTTTAGATCTTTGCTGTCCTCTGGAGGTTCACTGCAGAACTACGAGCTCTTCATCCTGACGTTGAGGACCTGTTCTCAGGTGGGTGAGTGGAGGAGAGACTCAAAAAAACAGCAGAAGCAAAAGTCATCACAGTCATTATAATGATCATTATTGACATGGCCATGGTAGTTTATCAAAAATAATGTACATTAACCTCTCAGCTCTGGTTGTCCTTCAGGAGCTGGCTCACATTTGACAGTAACTGGTTCAAACTTTCAGTCTGCCAACCTTAAAATACTTTCCTGTGGCATACAACAAAACAGTACATCAGATGGTTTTAATCATAGAACTATATCGGTTATAATACAGATTCAAGCACATTTTAAAAAAATTACCTATTTTGATAACAGCTGATTGGCTTGTAAAACTAATTTTAAAACGGTTGACACACTGAAATTTCAGCTACGTCCGTGATGACTCAGTTTTGGGGATGATTGGTCCAGCAGTTTCTGACAAGGTGTTGAAAATAGGATTTTGATAAAATGTGGCAAAAGATGAAAGAATTTTGACTGAAGGCCAAGAAGAGTCCCCCTGCAGCTAGGACCCACCCTCAGCACAAGGGGCTGCCACCTCTTCCAGGTGAGCTACAAGGGCGCCCCTCATAAGCTTGGACCCATAATAACAGGGTTGTTGGTCAATACAAATAACTTATAATTATGTTATATACCCTAAACAAAGCATTTGTCACAAAAGTAGAATAAATGGTTTGCACTAAGCCTTTTTCAGTACACAAAAGTAGGCTTGAGGGCAAGAACAACTCGTGTCACAAGACATTTGAGCTGTGATGGTGCAAATTAGTCTTGTTCGCAGCCCAAAATGATAGCTGGAAAAGTGATAATTGATTGTGTAGTTTTGTCCTCATGATGTCTTCAGGCAGTGTATCTGCCTGAATTAGCAACAGTTTATTCCTTTCAAGTCTAAAGACTATGCTGAACGGGTACACCTCATCCTGCTCCTCTGCATTTTCTTTTTCATTCCTCCATTCTGTATTGCTCTCTATCTGATCGGCCTGCAGCTGTGGTCCTGCTCCATTGTGTCCTGCAAAAAACACTCAGCAATTAACCAAAATACAACAATTTAAGGCCAATAATCAGAAAGGTACTGATCAGAAGGTAAAATAACATTACATAATCAGAGTATGGTGTTGCATATTCCTGCTAAACTATTAATTAATTATTATACCATTTGTCAGTGCAGTTACACCTGAATTACCTTGATTTCCTCCACAAGTATTTATTGACAAGACAGTCTAAAAGTTATTTAGTATATGTTCACAGATTAGGCATGGGACGATATACCATATTATTACGTATTGTGCAAAAAAATACTGTCACCAAGGTCAAGAATAAATCTCCATGCTCTGACACAGTTTGCTTTCATCGTTGTGAATACTTACGTTATATTTGACAATGTAATATTTAACTATTGGAATGGCTTACACCTGCTTTATCACGCAATGATCATTTGACAATAGAAAATGTGGTGGATGATCTATCTCAACCAAGTTGTTTTGCACAATCTCGACATTCGAGTGCAGAATTCTCCTCAATACATCCATGGTCACGAGTCATAATGCATTATCCTCCTGATGTAATATAATTTCCAAATGTGAACTCTAAGCAGTAAGAAGTAGTAAGAAGTAAACCCAACGTAAAACATTATAGAATACATAAGAAATATTCAGCAGCAATGTGAAGTTTACATGGTTCATAATAAATTAAACCTGCAAAAACCCTTGTGTGGTCCCAACTGTGGTTTCCAAAAAGAGAAACTACTTCTTTACAATTGCATCATATGCATTTTTAATTTCATTTTTAGACTTGGTTACACTGGATAAAGTCTACATCTTGCCGACCCTCATTCATTTACTTCTTGTTCGGTCTTTCTCTGTTTGGCCAGCTTTCTGCAGTAGAGGTTGACATGGAGCGGGTGAATAAAGGTGAGCAGTGACACCAAGGTGACACCCACATTTACCTATGAGAATAACAGAAAATAAAAAATGGGGGAGTTGGGGGTGTGGGTGGGGTGTGAAAGAGACAAACTGCTTATTAAACTGGTTAACCTGACTCCTCAGGTTCAAAGCTCATCACACAACCTCTGGACACTTACATAGAGCGGATCACCCTGTAGCTGGTGCTGGATGAGGTGTAGGATTGGAAACTGGAGAAGCAGCACCAGAGCTGACAATGACATCACCATCCCAGTCAACTTCCCAAAATGAGACATTGGGAAGCTAGAGGTGAGATGGAGTGGAGAGAGAGGAAGACACAGCAGAGGGATTAGGAAAAAAAAAGATATTGTTGACTGAATTTGTTGTTTGGTCTGAAGTGTGTTGGAATTAAGAAGGACGTGTGAACATACGCAAAGCTGACAAAGGCTTGGTGGCCTCCATAAAAGAAGGAGCTGTTGACAACCTGCAGGACAAATGTGAGGTACTGCAGACGGAGGACGGGACAGGTGAAACACACACAGAAGAGGAAACACTGCAGGGAGGTCAGGAAGAGGGCGAGAGAGGATGAATGCAGGTCTGCTTCCCGCTTGGTTTCTCCTAAGAAATAGACAAAAGCATGGCTCAGGCTCATCTTAGGTGAAATCACTTCACTTTAACGTGGGGCTATATGCTACCTTCACCCACTGGTTCTCTCTTCAGCCCCAGCTATGTTGTGCGTGTCTTGTAAGTGATGCATTTAATATTTATTGAGTTATTACACATCATTTCTGTTGATGTATTTGATTTAATGTTAACCGTTTTATTCTCTATTAGCAGAGCTCAAAGGTCCAGTGACATCTAGCGGTGTAGTTGCAGTTTACAATTCATTCATTTCACCCTCCCTTTCCAAACGCGAGGGAGAAACTATGGTGGCCCCAAAATGCCTGAAATACACAAATGGTCCTTTCTAGAGCCAGTGTTTGGTTTGTCTGTTCTGGGCTAATGTAGAAACATGACAGGTCAACATGGTGGCCTCCACAGAAGGTGACCCGCAACGCCTGTGGATAAAAAATGGCTCATTCTAAGGTAACAAAAACACAACAAATCTTATTTTCAGGTGATTATACACTAATGAAAAGTAATTCATAAAACTATAAATATTATATTCAATTTCTAAATGGTACACACTGGACTTTTCACACATGCTGACTTGTAAATCATTAAGTTAAATAAACAGCTTTGTTCCACAGTGTAATTTGAAGAAATTCTAGCGAACCTGGAGCCAGAGGCCTGTGCTTGTGTCTGTCCATGATGAGACCGTTCATAGGAGCGAGCAGCACACTGCATAGCTGGGTGAAGGCAAATGCATTGGTGTACTGACTCACTGGACAGGAGGGGTGGAAAGAAAGGACAAATTTAGTACGGAGGAGGAAACATGGTGGTACATAATTTCAAAAAGAGCCAAGTCAAAGATCATGGTTGAAGGGAGTGAAAGTGTCAGTATAGACTATATATCATGTGTATATTATTATTATTATTATTATTATTCACTTAATCTTTTTAGCATTGCACTCCTGAAACATGGTCTGACATGAAAGAATTGATGCAGCAGAGCCAAAGCCTGGCACCTACATTACCCACAATGCAACTTTGCAATGGAATACAATATATTCAACCTACATACCGCAGCCACTGCAGCATCACCAAGATGAGCAAATCATCTGACCTTCGTATCTTGCTTTAATCTGTACAAGCAGTGATTGGCAAGCTTAAAATGCTCCAAGAAAATCAATCATTTTATACCTCACCCAAAGTTTGGTCATTATTGGCTAGCCTGGTGAGCATGGAGTTGACATTGGATAAGAAGATGAACTGACAGAAAAGGATGATGACCACCCACATCAGGTGCCAGAGGAAGAGCCAGGACAACACACAGCTCTGAAAACTAGCTTCTGGATGTAAGGAAAAAGGGAGGGTGGAAACAGGAAAATCAAAGGAAAAAGTTAAATGTGAAATGTTGCTGTGTATTCCATTGAGTCTACTTCCACTTGAGGTAGAGATTTACATTTCCCAGAATTACATTTGACCAGACAGTGAAGGCAGATCCATAAAACCACAGCAGCAATGCATTCTGGCTACTGATGCTGTTGCCAGAATGCTTCTTCTATGATGTATGATTGTTGGATGTTGGTCGAAACAAATGTCTAAAACCTGATGTTTGTATGAAAATCAAAATCCACTTAAATTGGTACTTGATTCTTCACACACACACAAAAAATCCCACAACCAAATGATCCAATACTTAAATTCAGTCAAAACATTTGCTCTTTCTTTGCATGTAAAAACATTTTTGGCTGGATTTTCCTTTTAAACAAATAATGATAGCTTTGGGATCCAAATTAATCCTTTTAGTTGCATGTAATGTGATCAGGTTAAGAGTTTTGAGATCAAAATTGTCACATATTTACAATACCTTCCCCTTGTTTGGGCTCATAGAGTGGCTTATTGAGCACATTCAAGGCAGATGTCTCAGCATCTGCTCTCCTGTTCTTCACATCTACTTTTTTGTCAGTCTCCTCTCCTCTTCCTCTCCTGCGAATGGGGCAGCTTACTCTGTCAAAGCAGAGGTTCTGGATGAGAACAATTCAGCTGCTAGAGGTTAAAATTCATCAATATGGTGTAGTTTTTTCTGACCCATAAGTGAAGGTTTCCGGTAGCGGGTAGGGGATATGTCCTCTGGGCATCAGGAAGAAGGTACGTAGGAGGTGGATTATGCTACACGAGGTGAGGAAGAGAAAACACGACTGAAGAGACACTCCTCTTTCATGCAGCAACTATTGACAGAAAGACAAAAGAGGTATGCTTACAATTTTTAATGTTGACTGAAGAGCACTTAGGTCTTATCAAAATATTGCATCAAATATCCATTACCTTTATGATGAGAAACACAGCAGCAGAGGAGTCATAGGCCCCATTATAGATGGTGATGATGGTGGAACGATAGGAGTCAAACAGGTTCCCCACCTTAACATAAAAGTTACATCCTCACATACTGCTTTTATTTTCCTTGTCACAAACTTTCACACCCACACACCACCCAGGTTTTTAGGCTGCATCACCACAGACCTGAGCATTGGTGATGTGGAGGATTGTTCCAGCAGTAATGAGACATGACAACGCAGGGTACAGCAACAGCGATGTCTCTGTGTGTGAAAGACAGGGCAGAGAAAGATACAGGGAAAGACAGAGACAACGCTGTACGGTATCTGCTCTAAAACTATTTGATGTGTTACATGCAAAACGACATACCTGCGTCGGACAGAGACATGAACAGTGTTCCAGTGGTGAACAAAGATCTGCAGGGAGATAAGTCATGACGTCAAACGCACTAGAAGTCACCTTTCACTTTTTTTTCACTTTTAAGTTGGAGTTGACTTAATGCGTGCTTTACCTGATGTTAGTGCTAGGATCACTAAAGTTACTGCAATCCTTCCAAGATTTGGACATTTATTTTAGCCTAGACATTGCCATCCTTAGATCCATGCAACTAGGACTGATAACACTCTCCAGGGGTATCAATCTCATGTAAGCAAATAAGCAGATATTCAAAAATGTTAAGCTTTTCCTTTAAATAATAAAACTACACATACCAATAACTAATGACATTCCCATCAGCCTCAGCTATACTTTGTGTGTGCAAATGCTAGCATGCTAACATGCTAAACTAAGATGGTGAACATGGTACATATTACCTGCTAGACATCAGCATGTTGGTCATTGTGAGCATTTTGCCATGCTAGTATTAGCATTTAGCTTTAAATTATTTACTGTTGGTTGCTGTTGAATCCTGAACTGTACCGGTTCAAGAATAAAGACCTAATAATTACAATTGCAGCGTTGTTAAACCATTCATTTGACCTCCGCTTCACATTTTAGCTTGTAACTAATCATGGATGTATGCATGGACTACGTGCATGAACATGACTAGTAGGCTGATATTGAAATAAAATATTCCAGGAATCTTATTGTTTTTCTATATATGTGTTTTAATTTGCACTAATTACAAACAATAGTCGATTTTATATAGATTACCATTTTCTTTAACAGGAGGAGCATTCCTGTTAAAGGAAGAGAGTGTTTTTTTTTTACTTCTGTCTCTAAGTAAATGCAGCGATCTTACAGTATGGAAGTTGAAAGAAGAAATACGAATATAAAGGCTGTATGTCAAGGTGTTAAAAACTGAAAATAAAATAAAAATTATTAAAATAAAGTTAAAAAATTAATATTATTATTTTAAATTACATTTCAGTGATCTCATAATTTAATGTTTTCAGTTGCAATTTGTTTGGAGCAGCCACAGTGTGGTATACAGAACTCCTTTCTGTGGCCAGTGCTTTGTCAATGGCATTGGTGGGACTTGGGAATGCAGGAAGAACATGCAAACTGCACACAGAAAAGCCTCAGTCAGTTGGTGGATTCGGACCAATGACCTTTTAGCTGTGATCCAACAGAACCAAGCAGTAAGCCACCCTGCCAGAAAGGTTTTAGTTAGTAATTTAAGGGGACAAATGATCAGACATTTCCTTTAAGGCTCTGCAAATAATTAGAGACCTGTTGTATAAACATCTTCTATGCAAACTTGTATCCTGTTTTGCAGGTCAGGCTTGAAGCTGTTTGAAGCCTGACCTGAACAGGATATTTGTGAAATAATCATTGCCTGAGAGAAGAAGTTGCTGCATTGCTAACAGTGAGAGTAAAGGTGGTTGTAGGGGCCGCAGAGATGATAAAAAGATTTAATTTTCAACATTCAACTTTCAACTTGTGGAAAGTATTGTGTACCTTAATTCATGTCTGCCATTTGATACATTAGGGGCAATGCCGAAAGTAGTGCTGCAGTGCCTAGGAAGTCTGGGATTACCAGGCAAGCCATTAGCCATTGTTAGCAGTTGATAATAATGCATTATGCTGTATTTTGTGCAGACAAACACCTTTGCAACATGTCCACAGACAAAGGTTTGACAGTACTGTGATTTAATGAGACATACAAGTGCTAATAAACAGTACTAACTTGGAGTAGCCATGTTGGATTATGAGGTCAGGGTTAGTGAGAACTTCAGGGGATGTTCCAGTTGAAATACCTGGGAACTCTGAGATTCCAACTTTCAGGTTCAAATGATACGCACCATAATTACTAGTTGAGATGTTGTATGGCGAGAACTACTGAATGTATGATAGCATGCTGCTACTAAGAACTATGTTTTGCTCAACTTTTGAAATAAAAAGTTCTTGTTAAGACTTTGCATTCTTTTATTCATGAGCCAACACTGAAACATCACTAGCATGTTTTTACAGCCAGTGGGTAAATTATGCTTTGTCCGTTTCGCTCCATCTGCCCCTTCATATGCAGCTTGAAGGTCTCAGAAGTGATCGTACCAATTAACAATGTATAGTTAATAGTTCATAATTGCTGCTCTTCTTTTCCTCAACTGCTTATAAAGAAATTAACCTTCACAAACCAAACTAGGCAAACATCAAATAATAAAACACGGTTTTTGTGTTGGTGTGCTCACACAGCTATTAGCCTTGTTGCTGTGGTTCCACAGCGATCGAAGACGTATCCAATGGGAAGGCGTATTATTGTGTTGGCGATGGAAGCAACAGACATGACCCGTGGGAAGTGTTCATCCTGACTAATACAATCTGGAAGAAAGATAGATAAAACGAGGAAAAGAGGTAAATATAGAAACAGTGGAAAACTACTGTATGTAGGCCTACTGCATGTCTGTAACTTATGAGCATATAATTAGTCATATTTTTAAAATTAATTCCCTTAAAGGTCCAGTGTGTAACATTTAGGAGGCTCTATAGACAGACAAGAAATATAATACTCACATGTTTTCTTTAGTGTATAAATAAAATATAAGAATTGTTGTTGTTTTTGTTACTTTCGAATGAGCTGTTTTTATCTATCTATCATCTACGGCCATGCCCGCCATGTTTCTACAGTAGCCCAAAATAGACAAACCAAAACACTCCTAAAACACTGCACACTACATGCCACTAAATCCTACACTGTTATACATTAACAAGTTGGTTGGATTCTTGCAACCCAGTGATTCAGTGGATACAGAGTGGGAAAACTGAACATATGTAATTTTACTGAAATAAATAGATAGATGAATAGAATAATCAGTATTACAAGTTCTGTGTTGTTCACCCTTATTTGCCTTGAAGGTTAACTAATGTTAGTATGAGCAAACCAAGTAAGGTTACAATATATGAATGTTTATATACCTATATACAGAGCATTGTCCTCCTCTCTGGTGGTGTTGGAACAGAATCCAGCAAAGTATCCATCAACTTTCAGCACAAAGACCAAAGAAGCCCAGCCGAAGACAATCCCTGTGAAGAACAAACTCTCTACAAATCCAGACAGTAGTGTCAACCAGTAGTACAATTTATTCCTTCCTCCTTTGAACTCGAACATTCTGCCAAACTCCTCTGCTTCTACCTGAGTAGCTCAGCCAGGTGAGTAGTGGAGTGGTGAAACTTTGACAGCAATAACCAGAGTCACAGAGGTTACCTAGAAAACATGGACACTGCTGACTACAGTATGACATGGCTCACTACACACACACACACTGACCTTTGTATTTATTATAACAAGTGTGTGGTGGTCTGTGGTGATCATCTCCAATTGAAATTAGATCAGCAGATTCTGTTTTTGTCACCAGGAAGCACATAAACACAGAAAGTCTTTGTCTTAATATGTCTCTCTTGATACACCCACCCACACACACACACACACACACACACACACACACACACACACACACACACAGACGCAATCTGTTCCTGGATGTTTTGCACATGTCTGAGTATAATGTTAAGAAAATTAATAAATGTTTTGATGATAATATTCTAAAACTATGTAAAAATGCATATGTATTATACATATAAGAGATAGACATAAAAATATATACACATACACACACACACACACACACACACACACACACACACACACACACACACACACACAAACACACACATACACACATGGCCAGCAGTAACCTAGCAAGACTTACCTGCTGTGCTACAGGCTGTTTGAGGAGATGTTATTCTTCACCACACCCTCTCCCTCAGCATTCTGACACCTACTCGCTCATTCTGAGCTAAAATAGGCCTGTAACTTAACACTGGGTGGGGCACTCAATCATAGACTGATTATCTCTGGAGAGTTGACATTATTTAGGTTTTTCAGGCTGTTCAAGATTCATTTTTGTTTTATTTGGCATTTGACATTACATTTTAAATGTAGCCCATATCAGATTCCAGGTAAGTAAGTAAGTTAAGCTTTATTTATATAGCACTTTTTAAACACAGAGTTACAAAGTGCTTTACAAACAACAAACATACATATGAGTCTATATATATGCATATGTACATATAAATATGTACATGCATAACCAAACCCAATCAAACATACCTAGAGAGCATGTAAATACAAACATACGGAAGATAAAACAAGGGGGAAGGATAAATTAAAAGAGAGACGACAGATGAGAAAACAAACAAGAAGGAGATCCATAAAAAGGCCTGTAGAGGGGGGTTTTGAGGAGCCGCATAAAACTATCCACAGAGTCAGGGAATTTAAGTGAATGGGGAAGACTATTCCACAATGTTGGGGCTAAAACAGCAAAGGCACGGTCACCTTTAGTTTTGCAGTTAGAGTGTAACTATATAACTGTAACTGGTATATATATCCTGCAGTGCACCACTGAGTCTAATGGAATTTGTCACAGTCCAGTAGTGACATGATTTAATTGAATCTATTCAATCAAATTAAAGAGACAATATAAGTGTGCATGATATATGACAAAGTAAAAATTCAAAGATTACAGTTTTATTTTCAAGTTTTGTAACGTATCAATTCATAGCCTTTAGAAGCATTGACTTTGATGGATCACTGGCATATTACAGAAAACACGCCTGGGATTATTTGGGATCAAACTTGGGTAGCACATTGCCTCTGTCTAAACTGATAAATAATATAAGTCCATTTTATTCTCACTTTCTTTTTAAATATGGCAGGGATATACTAACTATTTAAAGCAAAATCAAGACCATCATTTGATGAAAATACATTTTATAAGTGAATTTATGATGATTTATGATAAAGAAGACATTTGTCTGGCAAGATGTTCTTTGCCTTCACCTTAAGTAAGTCTTAAGTCTTATGTCTCTTAAGTCTTAAGTCTTGTTCCTAACTGTCTTTCTTATGCTGCACTTTAACAAGAAAACAAGAGATAACAAATGCCACAATCTTGTGGGATGGTGCTCATCACTGTATATTTTGTATTTAGGATGAAAAGTAATATTAGAGGTCAATCACTTTCTCGCAGATCCATGATTGTGATTTGGAACACTTTTCATCACTCCAGCTTCTCTGATGATTGTAATAATAGGTGACAACACAGTGCTTCATTCGTTCAGATATCCCACTGGCCTCACCTTTTTTCCAAAACCTGTTCAAACACAGACAATCAAATGATTGGCTGGGGTTAGAACATGATGCACAACACACTAATAATCCTCTCAGTGGCGGTCACAGCTCTGGAGACAAGAAGATGTCTTACCCTGTGCTGTTCAGAACTGAACCATCTACCCATTTCCAAGTTCCCTTTTCTTCTCTGTCAGTCAGACCAATCCAGAATATACGGTTTAAGGAATTGATGAATATCTGCAACAGTACCCAAAGTCAACAAAACTATGAAAATGTGGGTTCCTCTGACAGCACTAACCCAACTAAACACGCTGCACTCAATGCAATGTTAGGGAACACAATCTTTAACTTGTTTTCTCTTACCTGCTCTTCTTCGCTTTTTACAACCACCAGATCTGCCCCTCTGTCTTTGCAGTCCTGCCTGCTATTGGCCCAGCTCTCTTGTTTAGAAGAAATGTAGTAGAAACTGTTGTTGAACGATGTGCATCCATCTTTACAGAAATGACCTGCAAGCGTACACAATTTAGGAAGGGAAAGTGTCAAATGTCCATTGTACAAACAAACACACACACACACACACACACACACACACACACACACACACACACACACACACACACACACACACACACACACACACACACACACACACACACACACACACACACACACACACACACACACACACACACACACACACACACACAGAAAAAGACTCACTTCTCACTTTATATGGTCATATGCACACAAAACAAAGTCTACACTCACTGAGTTCAGCCAAAGCCTGTTTTCTCTCTTCAGACCAGCTCTCGTTGTGGGACGGCAGCTTGATTCTGCCTGCATGGGACATTAAATTCACACACTGAGACTATTCTAATCTGCCACCATTTAACTGCACAGGAAATCTAAAACAACAACTGTTGATTTGAAGTTGGTGAATGGATGTTTAGCAGCGCAAATCTGGCTGTCTTAAAAGACAACAAATGTAAATTCCTTACAGTGGAGTCCAGTGCCTATGATACCAGCCAGGAGGAGAACACAGAGCAGCACCAGGCACACAATCATAGCCCTGACCAAAGTCCTGCCTGAATGGAAAATGTTGTTATTATAACAATATAAATGGTCATTCAAACAGCAAAGGAAACGTAGACATTTGTGTTACTCACGTGGCTGCTGATGCACTGCACTCTGGGTTACAGCTTGTTGACCCCCGTAGATGTCTAAGCTTTTATAAATACACACTATCCTCTCCTCCACATCTCTCTCTCCAGTTGTATTTGAGGCTATTTCTTCCATTTGGTTTTGTTCGATAGGATCATTATCATAAATGGCCTCAGACATCTCTGTTTCTGATTTTCCTTTTGCCTTTGTTTCTTTGTACTACCACCAAACTGTGTGCATCGAATATGACAATTTAGGTGGTTTAGTTGCGTTTTGTCGGTCTGTCCAATATCACACTTCTGCATATGCTGTGGCACAGTATCTACACACTTCTGCATTATAATTTCTTCTTTATTCAGCCTGTTCACTGTGGCTGAACCACATGCCCAGATGACCAGATCTAGAGTAAAGTATGAAGTATTTATTTATTCATTCATACACTTCACTGAATGACCATTGACATTTCCTAAATATATCATAAGCAATGTAAATAGAATAAATAATAAACTAAAAGAGAATATCAGTTGTTCAGCCTATAGAGAGTTGCCTTTTACATTTACATGGCCATATACACATGGCACTAAAATGTACTTGTGACCTGGCCCTAAAAACAACTTAACAGCATATTTACTTTAAATTACATATAATGGTTTGATTGGAAGTGAAACCCATGATGGATGTAGGCCTTCAGAGGCGAATCAACTCATAATTATTAGAGCGCAAGTTCTGTGCTGTTTGCTTTTAATGCTACATCAGGCTCTGTCATGGAGTATGGTGTAAAAATACATACAAACATGACAGTTGTTGGGTATGTGTGCTGACAGCAGTCCTAGAAGAACCCTGCACCTCTAGCATCACTTAGTGGTCGTTTCTGGGAAAAGAAATTGATTCTTTTAAAACAAGATAATGTTGTCTATGGCAGAGTGTCAATAAATGTGCACTGCAGTAGTGGCAGAAGTATTGAGATCTTTTACTTAAAGGTCCAGTGTGTAACATTTACTAGGGTCTATTGGCAGAAATTTTTCAGTAGTGTATAATCACCTGAAAATAAAAATCATTAAGTCTTGGTTACCTTAGAATGAGCCGTTTTTGTCTACAAAGGGAGCGGGTCCTCTCCACGGAGATTACCATGTTGAACTGCCATGTTTCTACAGTAGCCCAGAATGGACAAACTAAACATTGGCTTTAGATAGACACTAGAAGTTTGGAAGGCTGAGCTGTATTGAAATGGTTGCAATCTGCAACTTCACTGCTAGATGCCTCTAAATCCTCCACACTGATACTTTAAATAAAAGTTGTAATACCACAATGTAAAAATACCCTTTTCTGCTCAAAGCTAGCTTAAACAATATTTGTCTGCTTGGATTTGAAAGTTCAGTAAAGCTGAATTCTTGTAAAAAGTATAGCGTCAAAAGTGCATATATTATTATATTGTTGGCTGTTGTATTTTTTACTAGCTTCTGGGATTTAGACAGAACAATTAAATGATTTGTTGTTAGTAAATAAATCAATTATGAATTAATAGTTGCCGTCATACTAATTTTAACTATGTTATATACTGCTGGGTAGTTCAAAGATCCCCTCCAGACATGTATGAAGACATATATACAGATAGTCTTAGAAACATTATATTATTATCATTATTATTATTATTACTACATGACACAAATGATCGCCCTTTAGAAGCTGATCATATGTTTTGGATGTAAGAGCAACAACAGCCAGGGTAGCCACATGACAAATCATAATATACAGTTCCACAAAATTCAAAAACAGAACAAGCAAAACATTCATTACATTCAGTAGATGTACTTTCCACCAACAGTGCACTGTCCCCAGGGTAAACCTGAGTACAGCAGATGTCTCCTGTTGGCTATTATTCTGCTCTGTAATTGCCCTTCAATGGCCACATGAGGGCAATGTCGGAACTCTTTCATTTTTAAAGGCTATTTCTATGCCCGAAACAAATATATAATGTGAAGTGTTCAGTTTAAGGCCTGGAAGATGAGAAAAATACATAAATCTGAATGCATATGAGGGCTTCATTAACTATACCATAAACGGCGAAATGAGAAACTTGTTTTCTTTCCAGCGGAGGAAGGTACATTCATTTAACAATGTGATATTTAGTTTTAATTCAATCGTAGTTCAATAATATCGATATTACTTTCTGAAAAAGTCATTTTTCCTGTATTCATCCCTATATTTTAAAGACGCCCCCCCCTCCCCGCCTCTCTCCCATTCTGTCGCCTCCTGTGCCACTCGCCCCCACCTCCCTCTTCCCCCCAGCGGAGAGGAAGAGCAGAGACAAGTGAACAACAAGCCAAGGCAAGGAAGATAGGAAATCGCAGAGGTGGGTGTTTTCTCCGCATTCATCGTGAGTGCTGTCCCCCGCGGTGGACAGTCCATCTGTAGGCTGTTTGTTGGACCACGCTGAGGTCTTTCTGTTGTCTCGTCTCAACTCACTTCTTCTCCGAGGCTGCGGGTCGAGGTTTGGATCGTGTCAGCGGCGGGCAGCAGACCTCGGCTAGGCCTGAATCCATCTCGCAAACACTTCTGGACTTTGAAAAACAAGCCTAGCAGTCTCCACAACCGGTAATGGCCCGTGTTTTTGTGGTTGTGCGCTCGGTACAGCTGGTTGGGATTTGTTGTTAGGTGGAAAGAGGTGTGACCTTTTAATTTGGTGAACTTGGTTGATGTAAACGCAGCGTTAGCAGGCTAGCCGCCGTAGCACAGGCTAATTTCGCTAGCGCTGGTGTACTCCATTAGCTTGATGAATAACCTGTCTAGAGTGCGACTTAGGGAAAGTTTAACTAAACTTCTGCAGGCAGTCAAGGCTGGTTGATGTCAGGACAGCTAAACATATAAACGACCCAGCTAACGTGACGTTAAGTAGCTTAACCCAGCAGTTTATTACATGAATGGTGTAAGTGGCTGAGAGCTGTATCGCTTTAACGTTATTACATGAACTCAGCTAGCTACATGTTGAGTATTGTCTGTTTCCTGCATGTAAACACCGAAGCAGCAAGATTTCACTTCTTCCGCCAGTTTTTCCCCGAGCTGCGAGGGGGGGTATTCAGGTGAGAGTACACGGAAGTGACCGGCCAACCCGCCGCGTCACAGACCGTAAGGTGGGAGTCAAAGTCCAGTCCCGGCTTACTTATCAATTTCCTATTATGTATTGTACCTGAGACGCCCACTCTCTGCGGGCACTGGAGCTGCGTGGTGCTTTCCAGGTGACTATACCCGCATGGTGCGTGTTCTGCGGTTTTGACTTTTGTTCATTTTTGTGTGTTGAAAGTCTGCTGGGACTGTTTAATGTTACAGCAGCTGTCTTTTGATGTGGTCTGCAGAGCAGAGGAGGGAGACAGGGTTGCTGCTGGAGCAAGGGACAAAAAGCAAGAACCTGTTGTGTGGGTCTGGAAGTGTGGGGTGTGGTAAGGTGGCAGGCGTGTTTGTTGCTTCATTATTTAGTCCCTTGTTGTGTAGAGGCTTGCAACACGGACACCTTCTCAACTTACAGTTCTTCTGTGTGAATGGATGCTGGATTACTCCGAGGGACCAGGCTAAATCTGCTGTAGGGGATCGTTCTTGGAGTAAGCTTACTACTCTTAGTTTGTAGTCGTGGTCTTCTGTAGTATCTGTGTGTGCAGTTAAAAATAATTGCACAGGAACGACCCACAAACCAACCCGATGTTTGAGCGCTTTGTTTAAAGTAGCTGAATGGTTGATTTGAGTTGGTATAATCAGCTGATTGGTGAGTTTCAGTGCAGCATGGACATGGCTGCCTGTCATATTTCTCCAAATACCCTGCAGGCCTGTCTGCTTTGACCTGCTGCAACAGAGATGGAAAAGATTGTGAGCAAGTTTGGACATGCTGTGTTCTGGGAAATGTCCCTTCTCTAAGATGTAAAAAGGAGGGTCAAAAAAAAAAATCATAAGTTGGATAATTCTTTTGCTGCCTCGAATTTGCTCCAAGCCATGTTGCCTGTGGGAGCTAAAGTCTTGCTGCTCAGCCAGTTGTTTTAGCCAGGGCTATCATTTGTGAGCCACGGTAATGACGGGCTTTCAGAGTACACCACGGGTGTGTCCCTCTGACACACAGGAGCTGGGGTTTTCTTATATTTGCTCCTCCTCCCTGTCTGTCTTCTCTCTCGCTCTTTCTCTCTCTCCATTTCTCTTTCTTCCTCTGTGTACTTCCAACGGTTACACCTGCAGTGTTTTTATTTGAACGGTGAGCACGTCAGCTCGCTTTCCATGCAGGGAGGACATGTGAGATGTGTGATAGTGTACACAGAGAGAAATCAAAGTGCACAGATTTCCAGAAGCTGTGAAGCAAAGCTGTCGAGCAGTACCCTCCCTCAGAGCTGGTGGTTAACTTCTTGGAAAGGTTGAGTGTCAGTTTGCACTTTTATGATCCTCGCTGCAGCAATTTAACCAACTTCCTTGTTAAGTGGTGGTCACACTGTGATTGCAAGTCGCCTGTGGTAATGCTTTACCGACTGCTGCATGCTGGTTTTTAGTTTGTTTGACTGTTTTTCATTAAGCAATTGACCAGGAATGTTAATTATGTTTTATGCAGTATTACTGGATTTCTGTGTTTTGTGATTGTGGTCTTATTGACTGAAGTTGAAGTGAAGACTACAGTGAAGAACTTCAAGTACTACTTTACCTAGATGTAAAGCTGGCCAGTATTGACTAAATCAAATATGACAGTATCTTACAGCGGAGTGACAACAATACAATATTATCAATTGTTGGCTTTCAGTGGTTCAGTGTTTTTGGTTTTTAATGATTATGAGCAAAATATAGTTATAAATCAAGGAACTTCATCAAACTTCATATGTGCATATGCATAACAATGGAAGGATCTCCATTGTGTTATTAATTGAGTACTCATCAATTTGCTTATTTTATATGTTGATTTTTGATTAATTAATTTGCCATAGTGATATACCACACTATCAATACGGGAAAATACATAAAATCATGATTTCTACCATATTGTCTAGTCCTACAATATGTTTGACTAAGTACCAGTATTAATATTATAATGGTATTAGCAATAATGCATTGATATATTTACTCTGACTTGAGGGAAATGTGGGTTTTCCTCCCACAAAAACGTTTATCTGAGGTGGTAAGCCACCCAGTTACTGATGAATCTTGCCTTGTGATCAATAAAGTTAGTAGATTATGACCTAATCAATAGCCAAGATTGTTAAATTTAGGCATTAGTTGTGTAAAATATGCTTCTGCTCTTTTTCTACAACACTGGTGGAAACCCTTTGTAGAGGATTTTGTTACTGGGGTCAAATCCATCATGGGGTGTAATGGTACTACACGCAGGTAGTGGCATTCATTATTCATTTCACACAGTGAAACAATTGGTCAGTCAACAAACAACAATTTGAATAATAAGCAAACAAAAATACCCAACATTTGCTGGTTCTAGCTTTTCAAATGTAAGGTTTGCTTCTTTAATCTGTTTATATCATAGTAAATTTAACATCTTGGTTTGACAAAACAGGCAATTTGAAGAAGTCATAGTTCAGTTAAACTAGAGGTGGGTGATATGGTGTCAGAAATTCTTATGTTACGTAGGTAGATAGAGGCATTCATTGTTCACTTCACTCAGCTAGAACATAAATGTTATCATCTAACTGTAATGCTGCATTTAAGACAACTTAGAAGCATTGTAATGATTTTACAATGACCAAAACCCAGTTGATATCAAGCCTCATATAATATCCCAGTATCTCCCAGCTCCGTTTAGGTGTATGTACTGTATACCTGAACCGACTGGTCCATTTCTTGGCTCTTTTTTGCCCTCTCAGTTACAGTTGCCTGCTCGTTTCCTTCCTCACTAAGAATAGTAAGTTAGCGTCCTGTAGATTAGACAGCTGGCCTTGCAGAGGTCATTGAAAAGTTTCTGTGCGAGTGAGTGAGTGAGTGAGTGAGTGAGTGAATGTGTGGGTGGGTGGGTGGGTGGGCGTGTGTGCTTGTGCACTCTCTGCAGCTACCACACTGCCCACACTGTAGGCCACATGGGGGGCGGGGTAGGTTTCATGGTTTGAATTCATGATGGTAAAGGCGCTGGTAGTTGGATGTGGGCCAAGGCTAACACACAACGCACACACTGACCAAATTTCTGTGTGACCATTCAAATGAGGCTGAGTCAGCAGAGCACTTGGCCAAACCACAACAACATTTTACCATAGCTTCACCTCAGCTGTGTGTGTGTGTGTGTGTGTGTGTGTGTGTGTGTGTGTGTGTTTGTGTGTGTGTTTGTGTGTGTGTGTGTGTGTAAGCTGGAACAGAATGCACAGCCTGCCACAGCCACCAGTGACTAAGTTGCTAAAATAGCAATGATAGCATATGAAAATGAGGGAATACGCTGTAGTCACAATACTCAATGGGTGGTGATAGACCAACGAACTGGCTGTGAGTGTGTTGGCTCAGGATGGTAAGTGGCTTAGCAGTGTAATTCCAGGGCTATCCCATTAGCAGATATGATTTAGAGTTTCTGCTAATGGCCTTACAATAGATTAATGACTAATGCCCTGGCTTTAAGTGGCTAAAGCCATTTTAAACTCTCTCACAAGCAACTGCTCCCTGCCACAAGAATGTTAGCGGTGGGACTTGCATAGCTGTAGAGGTTGTGTGGGTCTGTCTGTCTGTTGCACGGAGGCACAAGAGACCGCCTTCCTCTGTGCTCTCAGAAAAGTGTTGACGTTTTGACAGAGCCACAAAGAACAACCCGGACTGTGGTATGTTGACTTATCTGATGTGTGGTGTCAGTGCTCTGTTGCCAAGTTGAAATCTTGGTCCCTAATGTAAATCTTGACGGCAGCAACAGGCAAACTTCTTGACACAACAAACATTTCTTCGAAGCTATCTGCTACATTTTGTTACATGTTTTCTTTTTCCCAGCAAAGACCTGTCATTGTCAAATGGAGTCAAGGTGTTCAATTTAAGTTTTAATGCTTTCCACACAGGTTCCATACAGCCACTTGAGATTATTTCAAACCATCTTTCAATCTGTGTGCATTATCCACTAAAGAAGCACTTTGTCGGCTTGTGGTCGGATGTCCTGATTGGGTCAGAGAAAGTAACGGCTCTCTCTTTCCAGGATTGAAGTGTTTGGCTGGGAAGAAAAAACATTGGTGTGAGAGACGGATGAGAGCAGCACAATGAAAGAGTAATGGGCTCCCTTATTAGGACAGCTTCCAACAGCTGAGACAGGATATGACACGCTAAATCTCACCCTGGAATGTATGACAAAGGCGGTGCATGTGGGTTTCTGTGCAGCTTGTGTGTGTTTCTGTACACATATGTATGTTGTCCCCCCCCACCCCCAACACACACACACACACACACACACAACTGGAAAGAAAGGAGGTGGCATTAACTTCACCAAAACTTGCCACAGCTCTGTTTTAACTATTCAAGGATATGAGCACGCACTTGCCACCTTTAGTCTCAGACCCACATACACAATGACTCGCCCTCGCCCAGATGTGTGTGCACACACTCACGCTGGCATATGTGCACACTCACACCTAATACAGGAGTCTTTGTTCACTCAGCCAGTCCTGAGTGCGCAGACAGAGAGCAGATTTGATCTACGTGACTCAGTGAACTTTGAAGTAGAAAATGGTTTTTGCCCTGGTTTGGAGATGAGCCACACTCATGTCATCCAGTTATTAGACAGACACTGTTGAAGTAATCTTCCCCAGATTCCTCATTCCTCCCTCACCAGTGTCCCTGCTGAGGAGGTCTGACAAAAAGCACTTTGTCATTGTCTTAATTTGGGCTGCAGTGACGTTCACTTATTATCATGCTTCTCTAATTTAGGCTTTGGTCATCTGTGGCATTTGTTTAGGCCGCATTGTCTTCCAAAAGTCTGAGTTGACGATTTCCAACCAACTTCTCTGCTTCTTTTCTTTGGTGTTTTTTATCCTAATGAACTAAAAGCACATTTCTCTGTTGCTGCACACTGGCTCATTGGTATTTTTTTATGCATTATTCCTTCCATAATTATTCAACTACTTTTGAAATGCCTGTTTCAGTATGTTGTGTTCCCTTGAAATGTCTAGTGTCAAGCACTCCCTTTACATATGAATAATCATTAAACTCCCCATGTTAGGAAAGTGAAAGTTCAGAAGGAGGATCAGACTGTTGAGAGAAAGTTAGGTACAGTTAGCCTCAGAGTAAAAGATATGCCCTTACATTATAAAGCACCGACTTTTAGACTCTGGCAGAGGCACAGTGACACTAAAACAGTAAAACTCATTGCTGAATGTGTAAATACATGCAGAAGCACTTACATAAAATAAATCAATTTTGTCTGCTGAAATTGAAAAATTACATTTTTGAGCAGAATAATCACTGTTCAAATAGAAATTATCATTATGCTGGCCATGGTAAATGTCAGATAGTTGGACCTATGACTGGACATTGTTTTTACATTTACTATATCGCTCAAAGTCCAATGCATAATAAAAAAGGTCACTGACCAGCTCCAGTTTTTATTACTTGTTATTTTAAATCTAATGTCCAATTCCTAATTGAATCTCCTGTGAACAGTAAATTGTCATGGATGGACTACAAATGAAATGGCTCCCCTATTATAACTTGCAGATTATAGTAAGTATAAAGGAAAGTGAGGGAAAACGAGGCCTGCTGTCTCTTTTCCTGCTGTGGAGCACGCCCTCTCAATTCAAAACACCTCAAATTTGGTGTGACTTGATGGTGTGATACTGTCTCTTGATAACTCTGAATGCTCTCACACGTACTCGTCTCCCCTTTTCCTTCCTCACTTTCTCTGCATCCATGGAAAGAAGTGCTAACAAGCTCCACGCGCTGCAGCTGAAAACATGCTGTAATTGTCTCTCGTCATGTATCTCACTTTCTTTCTATTTATAAGCCTGCAAAGCAGAAGGTGATGAAACGCGCTGAAAAGATTACAGTATTTCGCTTCCATCCCTGCTCTGCTGATGCTGGTCCCACCTTGAATTTGAACTGAATAATCACTTTTCGAGATGAATTCTCAAGTAGTGAGCTCTTTCTCTATGCCTGCTGTTCGTGTGTTGCTCGCTCTTGTTCTGTCTATACTCATGTTTTCTCTATACTTGCTTCTTTATCTCCGCAGTTCTCTCTCTTTCCTCATTTATCTTCCCTTGCTTTGCCTTCCTGCGTCAGGTCCTGCTGCTTTTTAACCTCTAAATATCAACTTCATTAGCACTTCAGTGTGTGCTTTCCTAGACGTGCACAGTGCCAGGTCCCCTCTGTCTTTATATCTGTATACTTGGGTGATTCAGCCTGGCTCTGTCTGTTCTTTGATTAAATCCCGGTGTTGGTAGAATCTCTTCTGCTCTCTGGTGTTGACCCTGTCCTGTCCTGTGCTGTCCTGTGCTCTGCTCTCAGCGTGTGAATGGAGCAGTGTGCGAGTACGGCCTCCCTGCTGGCCTCGGTGCGGGAGCAGGAGAGGCAGTTTGAGATGCTGAGCCGAGCTCTGGAGGAGGAGCGGAGGTCGTGTGCCGGCACCTTGCCCCGCCCCCTCCCCAACATGCAGGTAACATGGACAACCCTCCCCCTTCTCCACCCACCCTCACGCACATTTTCCATCGAAAAAGACCCTCGGATTCGACCTTGATCCGAGCGAGTTCATCCAACATCATCTCCATGGTCATCCCCATCCCATCTGTGTGGACTGGCTGGTTGGCAGCAGAACCTAAACCAAACCTGGGGGGAAAAAAATACCTCCTCGTGGGTTTTCTAAGGGTTGATTCTTGAATTTTGGAAGTAAAAAAGTTGAATCAAATAAAGCGACAAAAGCACCTTCCAATACAGCCATCCTGAGGAGGTAATTTACACCCTCTGTTGGTCCTCGCAGCTTTTGTTCATGCATTTTTCCTATCTTCCATTGGTTCTTCCGTAACCGTCCATGTCTCATTCAAAATAAAAGTCCTCCCTTCATCCTGACACCCCACCTCCCCCCAACAATCAAGCTTAACAACCCATCTTGTTTGTCGTGACTTGTCCAAGGACGATTGCATGCAGAGATGTTTTGCTTGGCGTTTTGTTAATTATATTATTGGGCTTTTACTGGACCATCACCAAGAGTTAAGTTTTAGTTGTAGCTCTCAGAATTTCAGCCAACTGGTTTCTTTATATTTTTTTGTATTTATTTCTGGGATAAATAAGGTTAAAAATAATTTATTACTCTGTACTAGCTGGAGTGTTTTGCTGTTTGTTACACACCCTCTTTATCATCAATATGAGTCAGTTAGCTGGAGAGACTGCAGAGTGACTCCATGCTCTGAGCTTACCTCATACCAGACTTACAGGCACACACACCTGTGTTCGCTCATTCTCCTGCTTCCTTATTGACACACTTGGTCATTAGCTTGCATGAATATACCGACATACACACATACGCACTTCTGGCCCGAGGCAACCTTTGAAACACAGACAATTATAAACAACCGGATTCCCCCTCTTGCTCACTTTCCCTCTTTTATTTGCTGCTCTTGCACGCAGGCATGCATTTAACCGGACACATCTCAGTCCCAGGTAATTCTAGCGGCAGAAAGGTAGACAGAGTGTGTGTAATAGTGAGAACAGGACAGAAATGTAGCCTGTGCTGGTTCTTATCTTTGCTGTGTGTGTTTACATAGCCCGAAGGCTTCAACATGCCTCTGCCACTCTCCCAGGCAGTGCAACACGACCTTAGTTTTTACTGACAGGTTCCCACACGCTCACGTCTGCCCGGCACTTTCTGGTATTCTCTCTTCCATATTGGAACACCTTATTCGTGTTCATTTGCTTATCCTATGTCTTCTTTATTTGATCTGGCCAGACTGGCACAACATTTTCTTTAGTTATTTCTGTTTTTTAGATTTGAAAATGCAACATTTCTGTCAGAATGAGGCAGCTGTATTTCATCTTTGAATACTGTTGAGTAATTCCCCCACCCCTCTGGCTGTGCCACCTTTACCCCCATAGTCGTGCTGTTGAAACTGCAGAGATGGCAGTAGAGCTCCTCCTGTGACTGGAATGGAAAATGCACCACACCCATCACCATTCCTGGACAGGCAGTGCTGGTGGTGTCGACTCATTAGAGAAATTAGTTTGTTTATTTCTCTATGGGCCATTTTCATCATTCATTTCATTACTCACTAATTATTAATCTGTTCATTCCATCATCACAGTTCATTCATAGGTTTGTTGGATGATTGTGTTGCATTCAGCTACCTCATTGTTTGTGTTTAGGGAGGAAGAGTGCATACATGATAGCCTCTGTATGTTTATGTTCATACTCATAGTTTTTACATACCTGTGGAGAACATGAAGTTTAATTCTTACAGTCCACGCAGACTTTATTAAACGCACTGCAAACAACAGTGATCAACTGTCACTGACTTTTACTTTCAATTTTTAAAAAACGGCACCCTTGTCATCCAACACATAAAAACAAAATATTTTGTCTTAAAAATTAAATGTAAAGGGCCTGAGCTTCACAAGATAAAGCTGGCTGCCATTAAAATTCAAATGAAAGTTGATGCTTTCACTTTTTTCTTATTTTTATTTATTTTTCATCTTATTTTGACAGTACTGCCATATGAGTTGCTTGTGACTCTGTGTAGCTGGAAAAGTTCAACTGCCCAGTTAGGGGTGTGTGTGTGTGTGTGTGTGTGTGTGTGTGTGTGTGTGTGTGTGTGTGTGTGTGTGTGTGTGTGTGTGTGTGTGTGTGTGTGTGTGTGTGTGTGTGTGTGTGTGTGTGTGTGTGTGTGTGTGTGTGTGTGTGTGTGTGTGTGTGTGTGTGTGTGTGTGTGTGTGTTAGATCTCATATGTATTTCTTCCTCGCTGCAGAACGGCCGCATTCCTTGTGATGCAGACATAGAGAGGCTGACACTGAACGAGGGTTACATCAACGGGACACATCACGTAAGCATTTGCCCTCTGCATTTCAGCTGTTTAATTCTCAACATGGTTACCCCCTGAGGATATCCCATGTGTTGAGTTTTATTCTCATTCGTGTGTGCAGTTCAGGATGGAGCCTGGTCAGGTGATGCAGGAGACATACACAGTGGAGGAGGACCCCCAGGAGTCGCAACCCGTTGTCTCTGTGGAGACCAGTGAAGATGGGACCACGCGGCGCACAGAAACCACAGTAAGATGAGTTGATTGGAAATGGGAGTTGACTTTGCAAAGGGTTGCAGTTTAGAGCACTAAATGACTATTAACAAACTCTGGAGTAACTTCAGGGTGCGTCTTGTAAGTGACATATGTTAATTACATTATTATTTAAGCTTATGAATATTAACTGTTGAATCGCGTCTCCTCAAGGTAAAGAAAGTGGTGAAGACCACCCACACTCGCACAGTCATCCCCTCCGTATCAGACACACTTTCCCTGGATGGTGGGGGTTCAGTGACAGGTATGGGGGGCTACACTGCACCCATGGTCTACAGGCAGGGGCCCGGAGCCGGTGTGCCCATGGACTACCCCACTCACACTGTGCCCCGCAACTACCACTACGGACCACCAGCGGGCTACGACGACTACCGCACTGGACCCCCATCTGAGACCTACGCAAGCCTTAGCAGGGGAGCTCGCATGGATGATCGCTACAGGTACCGTGTTTGTTGAAATTTGCATTCGTTGGCCCTGCTGATTCCTGCCATCAAGGCTGGGTGGACGTTCATCTTATGGCTAATATTTCCCTCTCTTTCTGTTCTCACTCTCAACCGCCCTGCCCCTCCCCTCTCCAGACCGGTCCATCCTGATGGTTATAGAACTCTGGATCCAAGCTATAGAGCCCACAGCAGGAACCATCTCGACCCCTATGCTGCTCAGCCACAGGTATGTTAAACAATAACTGTTAAAACGGTTTTAACTTGCTTGACTTCAAAATTCACTTTTACTATTTATGGTATTTTGCTTCCTTGCTATATGAAAAAAATTGAATAGGATTTCGAGTACACAATTTTTTTTTATTGGGGCCTGTCTCTGTAGGTCGGACGTATGGGAAGTGCCATGGAGCTATCCTCCATCCCGAGGTTTGTCCCAGAGCCCTACGGTCTGGAAGACGATCAGCGCAGCATTGGTTATGATGAGCCTGACTATGGCATGGGACACCCAATGCACTACAGCACCGTTCCCCGCAACCACAATGCATTCCTTCATGGACCCCCACGCAGAACTGGGTAAGTTGTGTGTTTTTTGTCGTGTTTGTGTGTAAGAGGTGCATGGTCACTTTTCTTTTTTAAATATACTGAATAATTGTTATTGTTTTGGTTTCAAATCAGCACAGTTATAAACAATTTCAGGGCCTTTACTCTCTGTTTGTATTGATGTCTTGACGTGTACATGTAAAAAACGTGTACATTTACAAATGTTCTTTTACTCCCTCCCCAGGAGTTATGAGGGTACCTTGGATGGCGACATGAGTGGTCCAGGGGACATGTACTATTGGGGGGGAGGTGCACCGCTGGCCCAGGGTGAAAGAGGGAGCATGGCTTCGTTGGACAGCACTCTAAGGAAAGGCCCTGGTCCCAGTGGCTGGCGTCAGCCGGAGCTGCCAGAGGTTATCGTCATGCTCAACTACAGGCTGGACCCAGTCAAGAGCAATGCAGCAGCATACCTGCAGCATCTCACCTATAAGAATGATAAAGTAAGCAATGCACATGTGCAAGCATATATTTTTATGGTAGACAGCATTAGGTAAGATAAGCTATTCCTTTATTTATCCCCTGTAGGAGAAATTCAAATAGTAATTTTGGCACAACAGCACAAGGGAAATGTAGTGCAAAGAGCAGAAAAAGGATAAAAAATAGTATAATAGACTTCAATTAAAAGCGATAGATGATTAGTCGTACATGTTTTCTAGGAATGATTGAGGCCTGTATGGTAAAAGATATAGTAGAGCCAGACAGGAAGTTATAATTTTACCAGACTGGGAATAAGATAAGTTTGCTACCTATCCAACTACTCCTTAATTTAAGGGAGTTAAAGTGGAGACCTTCTTTTCTGGTGAATTTGTCACGAAAATATGCCTTTTGATTTTTCTCATTGATCAGTGAAGTAAATTTTTAATAGCAAATTTGGACGTGCTCCTCAGACAGTACTGCTGTTTGGTTAACCAGACTGTCTAAAGTCTGTCTCAGACACTGTGTGTTTTCATTCTTGCACGTTGTGTTAACTCACACTGCATGTTTTAATCTGCCCTTCTGCCCGGAAAGAACTGACGGCAACAATTTGGAACAAATTTAATTCAAACAGACGTCTGAATTCTAAACAATGTTGAGAAAAAGAGAGATAGGCAGCGTTACTTTGTGCAGTTCTACTATGGACCTAAAGTAAGTGAAAAAAACATAAAAATATGGAGCTGCAGATGGCTGAAAGATGCAGACAGTATGGTGTCTGTTCTGCAGTGAAGGTTATTTTATATGACACCAGTCTCAAGACTACAGTTTTGGCCACAACATGTACAATACTGCATCAATAATATTAAAAGAAGAATTTCACTACAGTTTATAATGGATCTTTTGACAGCAGTCACACATTATCTGCAGCTGCCTGTACAGTTGTTGATGTCTCTAGTTGTTGACATAGCAACATTTGACTTGTGAATGGCTAGATAGAGAATATTCTTATATATTATATTTAAACTTTTTCTTAATTTTACCTTAAAGAAAAAGCACCAAAAAAATGGTTACTGTTAATTGCAGTTTAAGGATTCTCCAGGATATTTCTTCCACATGATATCCTGTGTCCTGTGTCTTTTACTTTTTTATTGATTGATGTTGACATAGGTTTGATTTTCTGTGTAACAACAGTAAATTGGACTTTACTTGACTGTGATATGTCTTTTGCTTTCCAGGTGAAGTCTGATGTGCGTCGTCTGAAAGGCATCCCAGCGCTGGTCTCCATGCTTGACAACCCAAACAAAGAGGTCAGTTTGCAGATTTTTCTCCATGGCTTTCTGCTCATTCTTTACTTTACTGGAAGTGTGTTATGATTGAACTAGGTGGGGTAAAAGGGAGGCTTAAGGGATGTAGTGTATTTCTTATGTAATACCAAGACAGTTCATTGGCCTGAGACAAGGTGAACTTGAGACGCACCACTAATACCAATTGAAAGGGAAATAGAAATAAGCATTACGTATCTGACTTCTCCTCAAATCCTGTAGGTCAACATTTGTGCTAAATATGGTTTCGGCCAAAACATTCTGCGGTTTTTCTATGATTCCCTTTCATTTAGCACAAGCTGTGGCAAAGTTTTGCTGATGTTTGTATGGGCATTACCAGACAAACCACATCATGCATTCCACTCTCGAGGCAAAGAAGCATCTTAATTTCACATTTCATGCTCTGTGGCCAGTGACAAGTTTGAAGTCTGGTGTGTGTCGGATGAGTTGCTCGCTGGAGAAATGGGTCAAACAGTGACTGCATCCTCTTAATGCTTTTAAGTGGTTTCAAAAGCTCCACACACTGTGTGTGTGTGTGTGTGTGTGTGTGTGTGTGTGTGTGTGTGTGTGTGTGTGTGTGTGTGTGTGTGTGTGTGTGTGTGTGTGTGTGTGTGTGTGTGTGTGTGTGTGTGTGTGTGTGTGTGTGTGTGAAAGTTCGATATATAAAATAGGAAAAAGAGTATAGTATCCTGAAAACTAGGCATGGGACCAAATGAAAATTTCATGTCACAATTATCTTGGCTAAAATAATTGCGATACATGGTATTATCACGATAATGCTGAAAATATATGTCATACTTTTATAATGGCACTAAAACCTTCACAGATAGGCACTCCCTGTTCTTTATTTTGGAGTCTGTTCTATTTCCACACATCCGGTTTAACTTTTTTTTTGTGGGGGATAGCCGAGCCTTCAGCCATGGTGACAGGATTTTGGAATGACTGGAAAGATTTGGGCTCTCCCTAGTCCCTTTGTTCAAAAGAAATAAGGAAATTAATGTAGGACTGTATGGTGTTGAGTTGGACAGCTTTTTCAAGTCAAGCCATGTGAGGATATTCACAATTATTGGAAATCTACTATTCATTATAGGCAGTTACTTGCATGAGTAGTAATGCCAAGTCCCAGTAATTGCATCATGCAATCAAAAAACAGTTACATGGGGATGACACTCTTTTCTAATACTACAATAAATCCATGTATGTGAAATCAATGCTCTCTTTAAGTGGTGCTCCATCATGACTAACAGCTGTTATTGTTATAGGTTCACTATGCAGCTTGTGGAGCACTAAAGAACATCTCCTATGGCAAAGATGCAGACAACAAGATCGCCATCAAGAACTGTGACGGAGTGCCTGCTCTGGTCAGGCTGCTGAGAAAGACCCGCGACCAGGACCTCACTGACACTATCACAGGTTAGAGGCACATTGCAAACACAGTGTAAACATGACTTTGACTGGTAAGGAGCCAGGTAAAGATATTGGGCTAATAGACTGGACTATGATCTGATTGCTTGGTTGAACTTGGGGTTAAATGTTTTTTGTTAAGGTGACGTTTGACAAGAGTGGAAGTAGGCTTCATAATTGAATATGCATATATACATTTCTGCATTTTCTCCCCCAGGGACGCTGTGGAACTTATCGTCCCACGACTCGGTGAAAATGGAGATTGTGGACCACGCGCTGCACGCCCTCTCCGACGAGGTGATTGTACCTCATTCGGGCTGGGAACGAGGCAGCAACGGAGCAGGAGGAGGGGAAGAGAACTGCAAGCCCAGGCATCTTGAGTGGGAGACGGCCATCACCAACACAGCCGGCTGCCTGAGGTATGGAAGGATGATGATATGGAGGAGATGGAAGGAGGGAGGGTTCAAGTAGACAAGAGAGAAAAATGGAAACATGCCAGCTCAACAGACTGACAGAGCAGTGGGATGTATGAGGGAGGAGGAGAGCAATGACGAGTTAACAGAGCAGAATAGAAGGAAAAACATCATGGAGTGGTCTTGATGAAGAGAGGGGAAAGAAGCTACAGTATGTTAATGTGAAGCCTTTTATTCCACCAATAATCGGAATCATGGTGGATATTAACAGAATTGGATTACTTTATTAATCCCACAACGGGGAAATTCCCTTGACACAGCAGCATTTTACGTGAAATAAATAAATACAGATATAAAAATAAAGAAAACTATGGTAAAGTGGTAAAGCTATGGTATGGTGGTAATTTGAAAAACAGAAACTACAACATTGATCACGTGTTGTAGAGTCTGACAGCGGCAGGGATAAAAGACCTGCGGAACCTCTCCTTACACCGTGGGTGTAACAGTCTGCTGCTGAAGGAGCTACTCAGGGACCCGACAGTGTCATGTAGAGGGTGAGAGGTGTTGTCCATGATGGATGTCAGCTTCACTAACATCCTTCTCTCACCCACTTCCTCTATGGAGTCCAGAGGACAGTCCAGGACAGAGCTTGCTCTCCTGATCAGTTTATTGAGTCTCTTCCTACTCTATTCCTTCCATACAATAAGTGCAGTCCAAGTATACTTTCATAAATCTACTCAGTAGAAAGCCCTCCGTGCAGGTCCATTATATTCAAACGTTTGTAATAAATGATGCACATGGTTTGTTCATAGCAGAAGCCTTTTCTCTGATTACTAGTACATACTGTAAACAGGATATCTCATTTCATTTTATATAGTGCTCATGAAAAGATTTTAGGGTTGAATGTCAGTTATTTATGTAAAAAAAAAAAAACTGAGCTGCAGCCTCACAGTGAGTCTGTGAGATCAGGAGAGGGTGAAGAAGGGAATGTCAGAGTTGACAGGGAGGGGGCGAGCAGGGGACAGTGGGGCATTGACACATACAGTGTAAACACTGTGTTCTAGCCTGCCGGTCTGTTATCTATGCATTCCGCTTGACCACATGGTTAATTAGCAGTGTTCATTTGTAGGTCTAGAAAAGTATGTGTGAATAACTTGATAATCTTAAAAAGTTTGGTATTTGCAGAAATGGTCTGGACAGTATCATCTCAGTACACCACATGATTAGAGGCTGGAGTTGAAGATCTTTACTGTCATTTAAAATACAGTATATTTTAGTTTTTTCAGATACTGATAAAATGATTAAACACAATACTCTCCATGTCACATTGCTGCTCTCTACAAACTGATATGGTCCCTTAAAGATTATATACAGATGGGCTTTAAATAAAATCTAGCATAGGTAATAGCAGTAGGTAAAGTGGATAGAGCTAACTGGATGTAGAGAGGTTTGAAAATGGCGATACATAGAACTTACTTGTTCAAACATAAAGAAAGGTGATTGGTCTGTGCTCTGGGTAAACATATTGTTAGTGGTATAATAAAAAAAAGACCATCGTACAGGTAAACCCAGTACCATCAGAATTTGAATCTGAAGTCTAGTAGAGTTGTAAAGGTGAAACATTAACGCCTCAGATATGTAACTTTTACTAACATTACGCCTACACATTCACAAGGCTGAGCCATGTTGGTCCGGTGACTTGCTTTATCCACGTGCCCATCATTTTACAAATGATAAAGGAATAAGATGGAGATCAGGGTTGCATCTCATAAATAAGGTATTAGTGAGCTCCATGATTAACTCCCAATGAAAAAGTGGTAATGGTTGTTCAGTTAATGGATGAGAATGAAATATGTACTATGTACCGCAGGTTTGCAATAAAACAGCATATGGTAGGCAGAGGTAGAATTTTATGAATCCAGAAATTGTAACAAGATTAGATTAGCGGCTCTGTGAGGATACTTTTGAGTTCAGTTCTCTAAAGCTAAATGCTAATGTCAGTATGCTAACACGCTCATCACTACAGTGTTAACAGGCTAATGTTCAGCAGGTAATGTTTACCATGGCTAACTTAGCTTAGCTTGTTAGCATGCTAACATACCAGACTATCATGCTTAGTACATAACACATTTCTTACACAAATACATTAGTTTTGCAGATAATTGGACATAAACCAAAGTATTGGATGAATAACATTTTTGACCCGATGATCAATGATGATGAGCTAGATGGAAAGTTACTAAATGGACCATTGAATTTATCCTGAAAGGGGACATGAATGTCTGCATGGATGCAAACCATCCAGTAGTTTTTGAGATATTTGGACCAAAGTGGTGGACCTGACTAACTGAAATTGCCATCCATAGAGCCACCATGTCAGTAAATTAAACACACATTTTTACCTGCCCAGGGAGTCTTAAAGAGGTAGAAGGTCTAACACTGTCCTCTGATTGAAGTGTTCACTTTCTGCTTAGAAGTTCAGTTTTAATTTCAGTCCCTTCCTGAGCACAGAGATGATTTACTGCCACTGGACAGCAGAATCTTACAAATATAGCACGTTTAAAGCTTTTCTTTTTCTCTTGTCCTGATATGATTTTACATTTACATTCTAAAATGTTATCCTACTGCAGCATATAAATAAACATCCTGTACTATGCAGTGAAATGAAATCAGTGCCCCCTGCTGTGGAAGGGAATGTGTCCTGGTATTGTGTGAGAGGGCGTGTCTGTCACTAGGAAAAACAAACCAGCACAAAAGACAAAAGCTGTCCATTTTTCTCCCTCGTGATTCTTTTTTTTTACATCCCTTCTTCTGCATTAATGGATGAAGAATTGGGTCTCAGTTTCCACATGTTTCCATCCATGCAGTCCTGTTAGATCTTTAAGTGGGACTGAGTCAGAGAGCAATTGAAGAAATTGGTCCAGAGCTGTAATTTGATCTCACCAAACTGTACTCCCTTTGTAAACCAGTAGATTTAACAGGATTTTCATTCAAACAACTCTTGGGGGTGTGTTCAAGCATTGTGTACTGGAATCCTTTTGTAGTCACTAAAATTGACTCTTTCCTCTCCCCTTTGACCTCCTAACTGCCTCTGTTCTTTCTCCAACCATTGTCACTGCTGCTAATCCTCGTTTTGTTTTACATTCTTGTTTCTCCTCTTCTCAACTTTCCACTCCGCTAAAGAAATGTGAGTTCAGAGCGAAGTGAGGCGAGGAGGAAGCTGAGGGAGTGCACGGGACTGGTCGATTCGCTCATGTACATCGTCCAATCCCAGATTGACTGTAAAGATGTTGACAATAAGGTAAGTGGACCTCAACTGATTCTAAACATCAAATACCGTTTACAGGTGAAAGAGGAGTAATACTGCATAGGTGAAAAAGTTGTATAAAGCAAATTCTAATAAATATCCTCAAGTGATGTCACTTGAGTCAGTGTGAGTTGGGGCTGAAGACTACAAAAATCTGGGAGATTGGAGTTAGAAAGGAGTGAGCTTAATAGGACTGTTGATAAGAAGAGCCTTTGTTGACGCACTTTTCATTAGTCGGATATTCGCAGAAAAACAAACAGGGTCAAACGGGTTCTGCACCGGGACAAAAGTATGAGGGGACTGTTGCAACATGGACATTTTCTCATATAACGCAGCATTAGCTGCTGCCACTAGCTTGATAGCGGCCATGTTACCTGACTGTATCCAGGACGAGCTGAAGTACCAGGGGAGGTTTGATTATACCACTAGCACAAGTATAATATGACACCATCAGAGGCATGGTGAAGTACAGCGGCTCTGACTAGGACCAGACACAGCGGGTTCAGGCGGGGGAGGACGTTTTTAGCATGCTGATTTGTGAGAACCAGCCCTTTGGCCTTCCTGTTAAGTTCACAGATCCAAAGTCTAGTTAATCTTGTTTTACCTTTAGCCTGAAAAGCAACACTGGAGTAATCCAGGTACTGCTGTAATCAACCATGAAACCACTTTGTGCTAGCTCGGGTCAGGGAGCACAACAGGAAGAGACATCAGGACAACACTGGGACAAAATGTCAGTCTCCTTGCTGATTGTTCTGACAGATTCAGAATTATTACCATATTTGCTGTTAACAGGTGGCTGTTAAAAAATAGATATTTTAAGAATTAAATTAATTTTGTTAATGTTTGACGACCAGTCGGCTAATGGCTTTAACTAAGGACCACTAGTGGACTAGGAAAATCTTAAGTCAGGGGCAGCGCTAGAGCTTGAGGCAAAGGGTAAACTAAACTGATGGAGTACTCTTTTTTTTTTTAAACCAAATGTAATGAAATAGTTAAAACAAGAGTGTATGATGCACTGTGGGTAGGTGATGTGATGTACTTACAATTAGAAATTGTCTTTAGCCCAACCCCCACCGCTTTCTCTCCATCCTTGCAGTTGATAGAGAACAGCGTGTGTCTGCTGAGGAACTTGTCCTATCAGGTGCATCGTGAAATCCCCGGCTATGAGCGCTACCAGGAGGCCGCGCCCCTCAACCAGGGCCCTGCCCCCTCCAGCCAGAAGGGCGGCTGCTTCAGCTCCCGCAAGAGCAAAGGTCGGTGTCAGGGAGAGAGAGAGCGAGCGAGAGAGAGAGAGAGAGAGAGAGAGAGAGGAGAGGGGAGAGAGAGAGAGAGAGAGAGAGCGAGAGAGAGAGCGAGAGAGAGAGAGAGAGAGCGAGAGAGAGACAGACAGACATGTACTGTATTCGTTCAGTCAATAGGAGGAACAGTTGTGGTGATGTCACCGTTAAGAGCAGTGTCTCACTGGACTGATACTCAGTCTCACACACACACACACACACACACACACACACACTTGCACAAACAAAACCACTCGCTCGCACAGGAATGTTAGCAATTTCCCCAGCTGCGAGAAAGCTCATCCTCTCTCCTGCTGCTCTCTGTTTGTGTTTCACTGAGAGTATTGATTTGGTTTTTTTCTCAACTACACACCCCCTTACTACTGTTCTGTGGCTTTGTCTGTGTTATTATAAAATGATTTTGCAGTGACAATGAACATCTGTCAGCATTCATATGAATAAGTCAGAAACTGCACATCCTCTCTTTTTGTTGGAAATGTTCTTTTTACTTGGATTTAATGAGGCAACATAGAAACAATGTAACCACTTCATAAAGACCTTGAATATTCATTCGCATATTATACATATAGAAATGCAAAAAAATAGGTTATTTTTCTGATTGACTAATTGCTTCGTTAGATAAGGCTCAAAGCTCAAACTGATACAGAACAGTAACTGTGTGTGTGTGTGTGTGTGTGTGTGTGTGTGTGTGTGTGTGTGTGTGTGTGTGTGTGTGTGTGTGTGTGTGTGTGTGTGTGTGTGTGTGTGTGTGTGTGTGTGTGTGTGTGTGTGTGTGTGTGTGTGTGTGTATATAGAGTGATAACATGAGCTGCTGTGTCCTTTTGATTAGCTTTATTTAGCCTTTGTACTTGGCATGTCACATCTCTGTGTGGTGGCAGCAGTGGCATTGGGATGTAAGCAGGCGTTAACTGGGTGGCTCAGTTATGGCTGCTTTCCTCTTACTTACTGTAAATGCTCTCTCTTCCTCCTGTTCTGTCATTCTCTCCATCCCTTCTTTCTCTTCTCCCTCCTCTCTTCTTCTCTCCCTTTTTTTGAGCTGGGCTACAGATGAGTGGTTTTCCAAAGGTAAGCTCTTTACCGCTGTATGACCGCACTTTGCTTCCGCTTCCTGTTGTCATTGTTGTTGTGGTAGTAGTACTAGAGTAGCTAACAGGTCGGTGTAACTGACTTTGTTCTAACATGCACGCATTCCCCTCGCTGTGAAAAAGTCGTAGTGAAATACCTAACATGCATCTCAGTTTTTGGTCAGAGCACATGTCTAACCAAAGTAGAATAAATGTACTCACAGTAGAACTAATTCTCTCAAATAAATCCTAATTTTTTGATTCTGCGTGTTTCTAAGGATGTAATGTTGATGTTTGATTCCAGGTAGGAAAGATGACGATGCAACAACAGATATCATCGACATTCCAAAGAGGACCTCACCTGCTAAAGGTAACTATAGGCTCAGTTGACACTTAGACTGTATGTAGCATACAGTAAGAGACAACTGAGAAAAAAAAAATACATTTGTCCATAACTTTCCATCTCAAACCATCTTCACCCTCTTTTTGTCCCTCTCCCCTCCCTTCTGTTTCTTTTACATATTTCTCATCAATCACTTTCTCCTCCTTCCCTGTAGGCTATGAGCTGTTGTACCAGCCAGAGGTGGTCCGCATCTACACCTCTCTGCTAAAGGAGTCCAAGAACCCCACCGTGCTGGAAGCCTCGGCCGGAGCCGTGCAGAACCTGTGTGCCGGACGCTGGACTGTAAGAACCGCTATCTGTTTTTCTCCGATTCCATTTCACAGCAGCAACGCTCCCTGTGTTGACCAAACACACTAGTTAAGGAATCATAACATTACAGCACACTACAGCACCAAACAGAGTTTAGAAGATGTAAATCATTCAAATCTGAGGCAACTTTGGGAGCGGACTAAGACATTAGTACTCATACTTTTTAAAGTGCTTACTTACATAGTTATCGTGACTTATATATATTATAGTGACGTTCCATATTTTGCCCATGATCTTACTTACCAATACTCTTCACCTGGCCTTGAAAATCCAAACAATACTACAGAGGAAAAAAATACTGTTCTGTCCTGGGTTATTGTTAAAGGAGGCATGTCCAGTCAAGAAATAAAGCTTTCTAAGCACTGAGGTTAAGACTAGTGAATGGAATAATGTGGGAAAATGGGAGTTTGAATACTACTTGGCGCGTGTCCTTTGGAAAGATGCCTATTATTATACTTACCTAATATATATGTATATGGTGTAATAATGAAGGTTTCGCTGCACAGGGTTATACACAACAAAAGGCTGTAAATGTACTGTATAACTGTATGCCACCCTTCATGCAAATTTAACCAAAACTGTATGCATGTATTTGAGAGTAGATGCATATGATGCGTTGCAAAGTGAAGCACTTGGAAAATGACCATGCAGAGGTTTGTTGGTTTGTCTACTCAGGGAAGTACCTTTTGTCATGAGTCATCATGCAGTTAGATTGGGCGTCACGAAATTACGTAAAACATGAGATCACAGTCTGTCAAAGGTAGAGAAGCTTGTCCCTTGATTTAAATGAAATGTGTGTGCCTGTTTAGTATGGGCGATACATCCGTGCCTTGCTGCGCCAGGAGAAGGGTCTACCCATGCTGACAGAGCTGCTGGCCCACGGCAACGACCGCGTCGTCCGTGCCATGTCTGGAGCCCTCCGCAACCTGGCCATTGACGCACGCAACAGAGATCTACTAGGTGAGACTTGGAGCGCATTGTGTGACTCAGCTAGTTGTTTTTCCCACAGTACTTAAAAATCCAGTTTTAACCATGTAGCACCAGAAGAATTTCTTGTGTTTTAACGCTCTTCTCGTACTTGTGTGTTGTCAGGTAGACATGCGGTGCCTCACCTGGTGGCCAACCTGCCCGGCGGTGGTCAGAGTCAGCCGGTGCGAGCGCTGTCGGAAGAGACGGTGGTGTCGGTACTGAGCACACTCCATGAGGTGCTGGGCTCCAGCCTGGAAGCAGCCAAGACCCTCAGGGCCTCACAGGGAATCGAGAGACTGGTGCTCATTAATAAGGACGGGTGAGGATTTATAGAAGATCTTTTTAGGTCGTTTGCAGTTTGTTGCCTGTTTAAACTGCAGTTTTGAATGAGTTGCCTTCATGATGTGTCCTATATAAGTGCCATCTTGTTTTTAAATTCCCTCTCTCTGCATCTGGTCCCCTGGGATTACCAGCAACCGCTCTGAGCGGGAGGTGCGTGGGGCTGGCCTGGTGCTGCAGACAGTGTGGGGCTACAAGGAGCTGCGGCGCACTTTGGAGAAGGATGGCTGGAAGAAGACAGACTTCATGGTCAACCTAAACCCTCCCAGCAACAACACCAGGGCCAACGGAGGATATGAGGACAGCACTCTGCCGCTCATAGGTCAGGAAGCGAAAGTGAAACGCATGTGAAGTGTACCGCGCTGCAAGGCGACATGTCTCCGAGTTTAGTTTGTGAAAGCAAGTGTCTCCTGTCTTGAAATTGCCTGTCCAGTGCAAGTATTGTTTGTATAGAAGCATTTTTTTTTTTTTTATGATGTTATTTTGTTGATGTTAACTACTGCAAAACACACAAAAGGTATATTTCTTGTTAGTAATACAGAATACAAACTACTGCTAAGATTTAAACCATTAGTGGTCAGATTTATTTGTTGTTTTATTCTCTAATGTATGGTACATTTTTTTTCCCAAGACAAATTCTGTCAGTCAAATGGCTTATTTGAGTTTGCACAGGTCCAATTCTGATTGCTGTTTTATTTTAAATATGGAGAGTGCACTTGCAACAAGTTTTTATGTAAGGCATTCAAACGCTCTAATTCTAGTGTTTTTAAGCAAAACAAGTCTTTAATTTCACATAAGCTCCAGAGAGCTCTGCTCAAATTCTACCGACTTAACTGTGGCAGTGTATCAAAGAATTGGCACTCCTAACAGTCTTTCTGTATGCTTCTATGTACTGCACTTCATACGTTGTAGGCTGTTTGCAGACTTTGGAGAATTAGATTAGAGTTGCAGTTAATTCTTGTGCGTTTGTATCAACCTGCTTGCGAAACATTTAAGGGTTTACCCCACAGTGGGACATTTGAGATGATCCTGAATCAGGCTGTCAATCACCATGTTTATGTTAAGGTTTTCTTTTTAATATTTTCAAAAGATCTTTTGAGCTACTTGGCACTGATTTTAAAAGTTTCAAAACCCCACCCAAACACCAAAGTAACATAAACAAAACCCCACCCAAACACCAAAGTAACATAAACCATACATTTGTAAATACTAGCTGGGTCATGTCAGTCACTTGAAACAGTTACAAAACACTCACACACCTACACAGTATTCTATCTTTGGCAGGAGATGGTGTGGCTGTTAACAAGTGCTTCTCTGGAAGATAACAATAACGTTTAAAAGTACATATTGGTGCTCATTGTTTGTGTGTCTTTAATACACAGGGGGCAAAGGGGACCGGGACATGATTCCAATGAATGACATGGGACCAGGTACGTGTGACAACAGAAAATACAGACCCACACACACAAACCAGGCTGTGATATTGGCTTGTGTAACAGATGAAACTTATCAATGAGTAGTTTTTTGGGAGACACATTCACACCTACCTCTAGTTTAACATATATTTCTCTTCTTCAGATGCCTACTCCACACTGGACCAGAGAGGGAGAAGGAACACTCTGGATAACACACTCGAACCTGCTGACAAAGATGCAGTACAGGTACACACTGGCACACACTGCACACACGGCACACACACACACACACACACACACACACACACACACACACACACACACACACACACACACACACACACACACACACACACACAACCCTGCATGACTGCACTTTAAGAACTATTTAAGTCCTTTACTCCTAACATCAACTCTGCTGCATACTTCTACATCCCTTTACTTACCTCAGTACAAGTTTAAGAGCTTTGAACAGACAATTAGTAGAAAATGTACATTTGTGAGAGTAATATTACAGATTTTGAAAACACCCTTTCTGTTGAGCGGTCTTCCACAGGATGTTATCTTTTCATGTGCTAATACTGTTTACCTCTGCATAATCTCTGTGAAGCAGTTCCACTCCCTTCAGGTGACGTCAGTGCAGAGTCTGTGCAAAGCTGAATCATTTTTCTTTGGATTGGATAGTGACTGCATAGCAAAAAAATGGTTTATTATGTGCAACACACACACACACACACACACTGACCTTTTTGAGGTTTCAGGATGATACACAGACCGATATCCTCATTTCTTGTTAAAAATGTTGCCGTGTGAACGGACACACTCTCACACACACCCACAGACAGCATGTTGATGCATGTCTTATTAAAGCACTGTGGTTGATCTGCGTCTTGCACATGATTTCTCACCAGTGGTGTTTTTTCCCCTGAAACATGACCTAACATTAAACTAACATTTTGTAACCCTTCTTTCTTTTCTCATCTGATGCCCTCATTATTCCTCCACTTCTTTTCTCTTGCTGTTCTTTTTCCCCTCTTCTTTTTTTTCATGTTTCACGTCTCCTCACCTTCTCCTTCTGGGTTTTCACACTTAACCCTTTAATTTCTTTATTTACCCTGTCCTCGCTGTGTGTCTTGTCTCTCTGTCTCTTTATGTCTCCTTTGGTCTCTCTCCTCCTCTCTTTATCTGTCACATACTCCTACGCTCTTTCTTTTTGTCTCCCTCTTTCTCTCTCTCAGGGAGGGATGTATGGGGAGAGGCAGGCCTCTTTGCCTCTAATGGATTCTTACGATGGTTAGGCTACACCCACTGTCACACTGCATGTCAGCGCATGGTATGTGTGTCCCACCGGCTGCTCCTCTCAACTCACTGCATGGCCTAATATGTTAGTTGTGTTTTAAGAACTGTGACTGTGTGTGTTTGACAGTGACCAGTGTTGTCAATGAGCTTCCATTGTACTGTATTTGGACTGTTTTTTGCTCCCTCTGCTGGTGAAAAAGTGTCAGTGTTTATTTTTGGGTTTTCCTGAGATGTGATTTTATTTTTCTCTCTGCACAGTTTGTATAATTTTTGTCTAACGTGTGGTGACCTTGTTGCCAGCAGCCACTATTGTGTACTGTATTTTGTACTTCTTTTTTAAGCCTCTGCTGTGAATCTGAAATTGAAATGTGCGATTCTTCCCGCCTAGGCATGAACACCTCACATTAGCTGCTCCACATGATCAATTCCCACACTTGTGCCTCTTCTCTTGCAGAAAAACTGATTGTGTGCATTACAAGACGACAGCCTCCTCCCACCTACTGCCCTTGCTGAACTGACAATGGGGGACCACTACACTACCGATGGGACTAAACTCCATCCTTAACTCTTCTGTCTCTCTTCACTCCATTGCAGCTTCTCGTCTCTCTCTTTGTCTTTATTACATTCCCCCATTGCAGCTGACAAACTATTGAAACCACATGGAAAAACTGACGTGAATCTCCGCTCCCTGTGGACAAACCGGACGAGACACTATGACCACTTTGTGCTCTGCGAGTCCCTGAGCTCCAAAAACACTAACCACTCAATCGGATGCCGTGGCCACAACACTACATCTCCATGCAACAATGCTACAACTTGCCTGGACAACACTAATTCTCCCTGCGACAAAAAAAGCAGATACTGTGGCTTCATCTGAGAACTTTTCTATGTCTTGGAGGTCGGAGCGTAGACTTAGACTAATTAGAAAGAACTGTGGGGATCAGAACAGGACACTTTTTGGGGAAATTTTACATAAATGGATATTACACTATGTTTCGAAGAAACTGAGGGAATGTGTCTTTTTCTCTCTCTCTCTGTTAGTTAAATACTACAAAAAATATCTTTCCTACCACTGATGTTTCACGATCTAATCAGATTTGTTGTTTTGGTAGTGGTAATTCCTCTTCTTGCTTTGCTCTGTACCACAGTAATGCACATGTGCCAAATGACACTGCTACTGTTGCGACTGCCAATATTGAATGCAAGAACTTCACACTTTTTGCAGCAGCTACACTGAAAAACTCATCATCTGCTTTGTTTTGTGCGCAGTTTGTGTCGGTGACAGTCCATCGCCAAGATGCATGGGGATGCTGCATTTTCTGTATTTGATTGTAAACCATAGATATAAGAGTGGAGGTCCAAGTATGGAGAATTCCTACAGACAGAACTAGAGAGACATTATTTTCTATCTCATTGGAATAGACAGTATAGTCTGTTCTACATTTCTAAAGTGTTTCTGTTAAATGTAGGCCCCTTAACTTTGTAATTATTGGGAGGTTTCACAGGATTCCATGGGCGCATTACCCTTATGTGTCTGTAATCTTATGAATGTGTACATACAAGTGTCTAAGAGCATCTGTGTGGGCTAACTGGAGTGCCTCGCTCATTCAGGATAGGTCTGATGGGTTTGTCCAACATGACAAGGGTTAACCAATCAAGGTGTGTTTTTCTCAGCAGTTGGGAATACTGTATATGGAACTCAGCAGTTATATTCTGCAAGATAATGGAATATGTGAACTTGTATGTATGTAAGAGTTGATTCTTGTCATTGGGATTGGTTTTTTACAAGGTATAAAACCTGTGAGTTCTGTTTAATTTACTGCTATCCCTTGCCTACCTGGCTTTAAGACTACAGAATAGTACATGGGAAAAGACACAATATTGTCTGTTTTTGCCCGCATTTCTTACGTACAGTGCTTGTTCTGTAGAAGAATGCATATTCTTAGTGCCGAGTGAGATGTAGATACTTACTGAGTGGATGATTAAAAGAAGCACTAGGGGGGTATAATGTGTGTTTTTCTTTTTTTCCTCCTGTTTTTATTTTTATTTTTTTTACCTTTCCTTTTATTTGTTTTCCATGCCAATTGAAACACTACAGAGGATGCCTCGTTTTCTCAAAGTAACAAGTTGCCTTCAAGAGTGGACTGACTAAAAGAGGGGAATAGAGGAGAGCAAGGGTTTGTGTCAGAAAATCTGTGTAAGGAGGCATAGACCAGAATCTGCTATTGGATTAAGTGGATAAAAAAAATAAAAGCACATTTAAACTATATATACAAGAGAATATTTGTTAATTTTAATGGTTTTATGTATTTCTTTTTTATATTGATTTGGGTTTAATTGTTTTGGGTGCTCTGGGTGAAAGCATATGCAATCAGTTTATATGTTTTGATTGAAAACATTCAATTTATGTCTTAATTAAATGCAAAATAAGTTAGCTAAACAAAATCCTCCAACACAGTCATCAGATACTGGAACACTAATGGAAAAATCTGATTCTGGACTACACCATAATCTCTTTGCCTTGGCTCTTAAAGTTGCACATTCTCATTTATGAATGAATTATGTAACTAGCAATACTGTTTTTAATAAAAAAGAAAATGATTTCTCAGAGCCTGTTTTCTTTTGCCTCTTGTTGATCACACTCATTTACAACATATCAGTGAGGAGCGGTTCATTATGGACAACAGAACAAACAAACGTCGTTATACAGAGCGGCCAGTAGGTGTCGCTATTAGTGAGCACTTCACCTGCGACCACAGTGGGTGTGAAACATTGAATGATTGTGTGACTTTGATTTTGGGGTTCAGTGCTAGCGTCATTTGTTTGAAATACAGTTAAAGTTTCCGAAATACCTCTGCTGGCGCAACAGAAAAATACTGGTAAGTTGTGATTTCCATGCTAATGCGAAGTTACCTCGCTTCAGCTGCAGTGTGTGAACTTCAGTGTACAGTAAGCTAACCTTAACTTGAGCCAGTCACACTGAGCTGCACCGCGGTTCGACACTTCACTGTACTACCGTTTGTGAACGAGGTGGACATTGCATACTTATTTGTTAAATTTTCTTCTGGTTATTGTGGCTAACAGCTAACGTTAGCCGCCTTATTAGCAGAAACGAGAAGAACAACTTGCAACGCAAATTTAATCCTTAAACTCGTCCAAGAAATGTTGTGCAGAGTTGTACCCTGTGGCGAAAAGAAACCGGCTGAGGTTAACAGAAAATAGAACAAAATGGAAGCGGGAAAATACAATTTAATTGTGGTAAATTGTTTAAAAATGTTTACGTAAAAAATGACCTTTAACATTAACGTTCCGCGAGCGCAGCTGTGGTCCTCCACGTGCTCAGAGTCCAGTATAAAAAAGGCTGAGGCACCAACCAGGCTATGCTACGTTAATGCTAGGCTATGTTGGTGCTGCACATGTCAGTCAAAACAACTCTTGTGTTGCGTTTTAAGGAAAAAGTTTCTTTAAAAAATCAGTAAAGAACTGCAGCTACAGACTGTGACACAGTAACATATATAAATAAATGATACAGGAGAACAACTTGTAACGCATTCAGACATTAAAATGAGATCATCAATAAATAGCAAAACCGAAGCAGGGACAAAGGTTTAAATGGGAAACAGTGAACAGGTAGGCTTTAACGGCTAAAACTTATATTTGTGATGTTTTTGTAACTAAATGTTTATTGTGATGGGGCATTTAAGGAGAAAATAAAACTCAGGGTTCAGGAGGTAGAGTACCACTTGTGCCAGAAACTTTTGTTTGTTTCTTTAAACAACAACTATATTCCTTTTATCTGTTAGCTCACCTCTAATATACTTCTTTCTCCCAGTACCCATGTGGACATGCAGAGGTACCAGTGGCCAGGTTATGAGATGCAGCTTCTCAGAGAGCTGCAGAGACAACAAAACAACGCCCAATTCTGTGATACCATGTTGCAAACTGAAGGTGAGCTGTGTACGTGATTGCACTATTGAAATGAAACAGTGGTGTAGCATACTTAAAGTTTTAAATGGAATGAAAATACATTTAATTTTTTCAACATCTCCTACTATTTGTAAAGGTATCTCAGTCCCGACCCACAGTTGCATCCTCGCAGCTCTCAGTCCCTACCTGTCTCAGAAGCTGTCAGCCTCACCGCCTCCTCCATATGGTCAGATGCGCCAGCTCCAGCTCCAGGCTGTCAAGGCCCAGACCCTGCTGAAGCTTGTTGGTCTTCTGTACTCTGGGGAGGTGGAGGTGAAGGGAAGCATAGAACAGAATGACGTGCTGTCTGCAGCCCGCCAGTTTGGGATAACAGACCTTGTTGAAGGACAGAGCTTCTCCATTTCCCTTAATGATGACTCAAACTCCTTGACACCTCAGGAAGACAGCTCCCACCTGCAGTCATCTGAGTTTGGGGACAGGGTTGGGACAGGATTGGACGATGAAAAAACAAATGCCAAGACGGCTGAAACAAGGGAAGATACCGAGCAGCGAAGCCACGCCAACAGAGATGAGATACCAGGAGAGGAACAAGGAAACTCTACAGAGAAGCACGCGTGTGCAAATGTAGGGATGAAGAGTCTGGCTAAGATGAAACAGATGCAAAAGATGATAATGAAAGAGACGACACAGATTTCTATCAAGGTAAGAAGAAGCAGTTAATTTTTTCACGTGAAAAAAACTTTGAAGGAGTTCTCTTTCATGAATGCATGTGGACATTAAGCCTAAAAACTGTTTTAGGTGAGATTAGAGAAAGTAGAGAAATTTTGTTTATCAGGCCGAATTGCAAAATTACACGACAGAATACAGGACCTGGGTGTAAGGGTGCTGTCAACAAACCACAATGTCCTGAGAAGGGATTGACCAATATGGTCTTTTCAGGGCTGATACAGATACCGATGATTAGTACTCAAGGACACCAATGACAAATATTTTAAACCGATACACATTTGCAATAAAAATGGAAATCTTGCAGTCAAATTTTTAAATATCTCATGGTGGAGTGTAACTAAATCTACTCCAGTATTGTGCGTGGGTACAATTTTGAGGTAATTTACTTACTTTATTTAGAATATTTTTATTTTGTGCTTTTTACTTATACACATTTTAGAGGCAAATATTGTACTTTCTACATTTATTTGATACTAGTTTACAGACTCACATTATTAATACAAATATAAACAAACTCATAAATGATGATGTATTATTATAGATCTATATATAAGATCCCCAGCAGTAAAGAAGTTAAAAATTAGCTCCATATTTACCAGCTCCAACATTAAAGGGATGAACACATTATTGTAACAATAACTATAAAATCCAGCGATTATAATACAGTATTCTTAAATGGGTTATTCTGCACTTTACTTAAAGCATATTTTGATGCCAATACTTGTACCTTTACTTAAGATTTTGAATACAGGAGTGATTTTATGCTGAGGTAACGCTCCTTTTTTTTTACTTAAGTAAAAGATCAGAGTACTTGAAGCATATGTTTAATTAAATGCAGCAAATGAGAACTTTCAACATTATCTTGAGGAAAATGATTACTATACTTTTACTCATGATGTGAAACCAATCAGATAATAGTGCTTTGGGCGGGTCATTGAGCGAGACTACAGAGTGGTGACTACAGACACAGAGAGGCGGCTACATTAAAGCCAAAGTGGCACATTACTTTTGGGAGTCGCGTTGTGCAAGTTCTCATCTCAACATTCTGGGAATATGAGTCTATTGAACCATTAGAGATCGTATTGTTGGGTTGCAACTACCTACTGTAATGTGCGATTAATTTTTTCGTCTAGCAAATTTCTCAGGTTATCCCAGTCACTCAACCGCTGTTGCCCAGCCATTTTGAATCCATTTCCCCTCGGCAGTAGAAATGGTTGTCACTTCCACATTCCACAAAGACAAGAAAGGACATTAAAAGTTTGTGGATTCAGTGACAGGATTGTCACACGTCTCGGCTATGATATGTTCATGATGTCTTTAGACTGTCATAACAAATGTCTTCCACCTTTTGTGTTCTCGTCATTGCTGGAGTGTCTTTCCTCTGTGAAGGTGAAGCTGAGGAGGAGGACCAAAGGAGAAGTGTGGGAGGTTGTGAGCATGCAAGACGCAGATGACACACTGTCAGTTCTTTCCTCCATGAAACAGGTAGATAAGTATGATGATGTCATTCTGTACACACACACTTCAATCCACTTGGATTTGATTGGATGTTTTGATGTGTGGAGGACGCTAATATATAACAATTAGAAACCCTTAATCTGCCAAGTGCAATAAATACTCAAAACAGTTGCCCATATATATATATATATATATATATATATATATATATATATGGGCAACTGTCCCTTTAAATAATGTCTGATGAAGTGATGTCTTTCTTTTGCTGTAGCATTTATCAGTCAATACTGTGAAATTATAGTCTATCTCTGTACTGCCACACATCACCAAGACAAATTATTGAGTATTTATTGCACTTGGCAGATTAAGGGTTTCTAATTGTTATATATTAGCGTCCTCCACACATCATATATATATATGCATTGTACAAATAGGGGGTAGAATATTTAGGATAAAGATCGGTTTCTTTGATGTCACTATGAAACTACAAACCTTGGTCACATTAGCCATGTAGCAGTGCTGTATTTGTCTGCCCTAATGATTTTGGCAAGGACTGATGCACCTAATAACTTAATGTGGTCTCTCTGGACCTCTGTTAGTCTCATATTGTCTCATAGGGCTAACTACCAGGCCTTCCTTATTTTATGAAATGAAATGCGAGTGACAAACAGAAGCCACTGCTTTTTTATATATTGCAATAGAAACACAGACTAAAGCACTAAGAAATATAATGAATGCTTGGGAAAGTAATGAGATGACAGAAGGGAAGTGTTAAGAGAGAGAATAATGCTCTTAGTAAATTTATCATGCAACACACATGGAGACGTGACACACAGAAGAGGAGACGGTGCTGTGGAGAGGGGTGCAGGTGGTCAGACAGAAGTTTTGGTGTGTTGTTCAGGCTGTATGATGCAAACATCTGGTAAAATCCTAACTTAGTAGCTCTAGACTGCTCGAGCTGCTGCCTGAGGCTAGATGGACAGCAAGCATGTTTCATCATCTGCTTCCAGAAATAGAGGATTATAAAAAAAAATCAGTGTGTTGCAGTGGTTCTGACATGAATTGAATCTGATTAAACTAAAGGTGATAAAAGACGTGAGCTCTTATTCTTCTTTCATAGACGGACCGTACAAATGGTGAGCCCTCATCTGTCCAGCCAGGCCAACTTCATAAACCAGAGACCCTGATTCTTCAATCTGCCACCGCCAACTCCCCCGAACCACCACCTCACCCCAGCAACACCCCTGACTCCCAGCTTCTCTGTGGTGACTGCCTCAACCCAAACCATAACCATGACGTTGAGTCAGTCCCACTGCCCCAGTCTCAGGGCCCTGCAGAGGAGTCTGAAGAGCAGATAGAGAAGCTGCTGGAGGACATCATGATGGGCCTGAACATCCTGCCAAACTTGAAGAGGGACTGCAAGAAGTCTCATCACCTTCAACCGGGCCACGATGGAGCACCGGCCATGTGCCAGGTCCCGGTTACAGAGGACGAGCGGGCGCATAGTCAAATGCATGCTCCCGTCGGTGCAGCAGGGTGTGTGTATAACCAGGATTTTGGGACACAGATTGGTCACTCTTCAGCAAGTACAGGTATCTAGATGCATATGTTTTCTTAATTATTTCTTCCCCTGCAACATTTGCAGACTGCTGTCCTTTTTGGATTTATAAATTGCTGGTTTAATGTATTGTTGGGCAAGCTAGAGAAGTAAGTAAGAAGCCATTTTTAATCCAAAGAGGGAGAGATTTGGTTGTTGGGATAACTAAATAGAAATATCAGACATGCTGTGAATCTTTCTCCTTTTGTATTTACAAGCTAAAATAACTTTTTGCATGTGGTGTGTGTTGAATTGGGGAAGCCAATGATTTCATGTCCATAAAATATATAAAACCAGAAAATCCCTACAACTGAAAAGATGGAACTAGCGAATGTTGAAGGAAAAATTACTTCAGTGATTGATAAATTGATGATTCAGTTAACTAATCTTTGGATTTATTGTTCAGAGTGCTGAAGGAAACAAAAAAACACAGATTTACCTTTAAATCTTCTTTCTGTGTAATTCCTCCCAGTTCTTCATGAGCACACAAACAGTCTCACTTGTACTTGTCTTCAGTCCACAATCTAAATGCACACACAGCTACCTTTCCTCTTTTCAGTCATCATCCCAAACCCCCAGCCTAACACCAGCCACCTCAGCTTTGTTAATTCAAGATGGATTGACAGCAGTCTTCTCACCTGTTGTACAGGTATCCATTGTTGTTTTACAGCTCAGCGCCAGCCCAGCTGCTCAAGCCTTTTGCTTGCACATTCGGACGCTGTGCTCATCCAGCAGCACCAACAGCGCTCTCCTCAATATCACTCATCCATGTGGCAAAGAGATGGAACGAGCCACCAGAGCACGCCACTATCCAAAAGTCTCAATTGTCCATATCCTGAAGCACCCACAGTAAGATCAGTCATACCCACATCGTTGTACTCCAGTGGGCAGAAACCACATTATCTAGAACATCAGGAACCGTCTTCACAAGGTGATCAGAACATCCTAGAGTTTTTACCCATGATGAATGAGGCTGAGTCCTTGCGTTTTTTTTCTTTACCTTGCGTGGATGATATGCGGCTTCCTCGATGTCTCTCTCCATTAGAGCCATTTGCCTCAGCAGCAAAATGTCAGCCTATCCTCAACAACTCAACCGACCAAGGCGAAAAAATTCAGCCCCAGCCATCTCAAAATGGACGATCCTGGCTCACAGAAAACCCTGGCTCACTACAGTTTCCTCTCAGTGCCATCACTCACAGAGAAAATAAAAGTGTATATTTACCACAGGATACAAACCACAGCTGTTGGCGATGGCAGAAACATCCAGAGAATCCACAAAATAGGGGAACCTGGGCAGAATCAGTGTCAGAAGTGAAATCTGACCAAAGTAAGATGAAGGAATGTTTAAAATGGAAACAAAGTGACACTAAAGGTGATGCTGCGGAGCCCAAAAGGAGGAAGAGAAAGCACACAAGTCATCCACAAAATGCTGCCGGTTCTCTTCTGGCATACGATGTGAAAGTCAGTGATGGAACAAAAAGTCAAATTAACCTGAGTGTTTGTTCAGTCAGTTTGTCAAGCAACAATGTGCTGGCAAAGGAAAGGGAAATGGCCACCAGTGCTTTAAACATACCAAACAAATTCATAGGGATACCAGATGAACCGTCAGCCATCACAGAAAGTTCAAGGGAGAAAACCAGAGGGGCTGGGGATCTCAGCATCGACCAGACTCGGATCAGGACTAGGAGCTTCTTGAAAAAAACTCAAGAGACCCCAAGTGACACAAGCCTAGAAAATTATTTGGTTTTAAAACCCGTGGCCTGTAGAGCTAAGATCTTGAATAAACAAGGAGTCTCACCCGTCAGGCGGAAACGCGGAAGGCCGCGGAAAGCGAAGCTTGAAGAGAGCTATCCTGCCATCAGCGGAAATAACAGCCACGGTGCGGAAAGTGAGCAGCAAATTGACAACAACTTGCCGAAAGAGAAGGAGGAGGGTGATAAAACAAAGAGGAGGCATAAAAGGCGTAGGAGGACTAGAAGTGAAAGGGAGGTAATTGCAGTTAAGAAGGCCAAAAGCGCTGAGACCGCTGGCAAGGCCGAGGCGGACGATAACGATGACAGAAAACTTGACGCACCCAAACGGCAGCGGATGGTCACTCTGAAGGAGATTCAAAAGCTTATCAAGCGCCAACACTCAAAAACAAGAAAGTCAAAGGAAAGCGAGGACAAGGAAACAAACGAAACTGCAAGAGATGTAGGAGGTGAAGCGAAGGCATGTGGCAGCAGATGTGAAAAATTATTTAAGGGGACAGAATTGGACATAGACATCAGTCAGCCTCAGAACGGGGACAGGATTGAAGAGCCTTGTGTCAATGTCACAGTTGATAAAAATCACAATCAAATTTTCAACAAATCAACAGCTGAGTATAGCAAATCACGGCGAGATGACACAAACAGCTCTACCAGTGAGACCAGTTTGTTGAGTGAGGAGTACCATCCAGTGTTTTCCTTTGATGTCTTGGGAGAAGAGGTGGCCAAGTTAGGTGCTGAGAGGGAGCAAGCACCGAGGAGTTCTGATGAAGGTAAAGTATTTGTTCCTTTATTTGTGGTAGATTATTGTGTACAGTGAGTAAAAATGAGTCCACATGAATTATGGTAAAAGACCACTGATTATTTTTCATTTGATTTTATTGGGTAGGCTGGAAAGGAACATATTTTCTTAAAGCCACTGCAATATGTGTAAGGTTAAAAAACTCCATCTCCAACGCCATCTGGTGGCAATATCAAGAATGACAGTGTGACCAACCAATAAATGCAAGATGCTTGAATCACACAGGTGGGTAGAAATAATTGTAACTCTTTGGACTAAAACCAATCATTTTAAACGAGAGGAAACGTCTCTCGGGTGGAAGCGCTGACAACTCACAGGGTGCTTTTCATTATGCTAACATGTCTCCTTGCTCCCCTCACTCGCTTCCTTTCCTCACGCCTTAGCTCCTCCCAGCGAGGAGGTAAGAGAGAGAGAGAGAGAAATGAGAAGACAGTGGAGCCGAAACTGCTAAATGAGAAATCCTTGCTTCCACAGCGTCAGTAACATAACCGTTTATTACTGTTCTTGATTTTAATCATTTAATATTCCTTTTAAATCGTTGAATTTCTGTACTGATCATTGTTATGATTACTTATTATTGTCTTATTATTATTATTATTTATTTGTATTATTGTTTTCTGCACAATAAAACACCACATAGCTGCATAAGAATGTGTTTTAAATATCAATTTTAGGGTCAAATGAAAAAGCACAAAAAACAAGCATTGCTTCTTTGTGTGACGCAATAGACTGTAAATTATTTATCACACAAGACGCATTATATTGCATCTCACCATGTAGCTGTATTCTATGATGTGTAGATCCCCATACAGACACTGCAGAGTAAAAGCTGTGAGAATAAACTGAATAAAGAAGGACTGAATTTTGTTGTCAATTAGGTTTTCAATCATGCCGAACATACAAATAGCACTCATGTTCCACATGTGGAGGTGCAGCATTTTTACATCGTGCTCAGGCTACTTGATAAAAGAATGTAAAATACACTGGTGTTTCCTCACTCCCAGCTCCTCCACAAGCCTCCTCTCTCCTCGTCTCCTCCAGGTGTATTTAAGAAATAGGAAGATCCTCCATGATGGCGGAGGGGAAAGGATTTCCGGGTCGCATGAGGAGAGAGGATGCAAGGAAGCATAAGTTAGCATAATGAAAAGCACCCATTGACATCTGAAACAACGCAACCACACTGCTTTTTTGTAAAGGACCACAAGCCAAGTTTAATCAATGCTCCCTATTTTAAACCTTACCACACGTTTTATGTAAAATCTTAATCTATGTAAAGACTTGTAATTAAAGTTGTCATATAATTGTAGCAGTACAAGGTTTCCCTCTGAATTGCAGTGGAGTACGAGTGTAAAGTAGCATAAAATGGAAAGTTCAGGTAAAGTACAAGTACTTATATAAGATATTTACAGTGGAGGTGAATTATTATTGTCTATGGTGCTCCAAGAGCAAAAATAAAAAGGCGTTCTCAAAACCAACATACATTTCCAAAAACAATGTTCTGCTTACTGTGTATGATCCATCTTCCGTCCTCCTTTTTTTAGCACTAAAAGCCAGTGATGCAGTGTCGGATACAACGCAACAGACTACCATCAATGATGAAGGCTCATCTCACAGTGACACCCACACAGCGCTTCAAGAAGACAAAATGCCTTTGGATAGCAGCGTGAATCCCCAGACTGCAGAGAGAACTCATCCACCTTTGTCAGGTGCTGTTGGGTTCATCCGGAGCTCAGGCTGCAATCGAGAAGAAGAAGAAGAGGAGGAGGAAGTGGAGGTGGACGTTCTGTTTTACTCCCCAGACAAAGTGGCTCAGTCCAGAGAGTGTGAGAACAGACTGGACAACATGAACATCAGTCCAGAGGAAGAAGAGGAGGAAGATGTGAACGAGATCGATGTGACTGGAGATGAGGCAGAGTGACCTTTGTACGTGTGCAGTTTTTACTGTGTTGTGTGACTAGTTCAGTGGCACTTTGATGTGCCAAGCCCAGTGTTCTCTCTATTCTGGTATTATGTATGTTCACACAATGCCAGATGAAGTCCATTTTGCTGTCAAACTATGTATAATAGATTTTTATGTCCGTCGCTCACAAGCTTTGTACATGCAAGAATCACAGGCTGCGTGCTGGTTTTGAGCTTCATTTAGTTCCATATGCAAGGTGTAAAATGGATGTTTCATTTCCATGAATAATATGCAGAAGCATTGATACAACAGAGAAAAAGTTCTTAGTGTTGTTTACAGTAACACTTCATATTTGTCAATATCTCTGAAATGTGAATCTTCAGACTGATTAAGGTAAAAGCACTTCAGTGGTATTGTCTCTAAGTAACTATTGTAAAAAAAAAAAAGTAAAAAAAAAAGCGTTATTTTGAGCCAGTATTTGTAAAGCAGCGTGTTTAATGTAAATTACATAATTAACAGTTATTGTTTATTAAAAAAAACAGTCTGTCTTTTCATGCAAGTGGTTGTTTTTTTCACCTCACAGCCATATATATATATATATATATATATATATACTGTGAATATATATATACTGTGAATGCTCAAGCACAATCACACAGAGACAGGGAGAGGGCGCACTGTCTGTGCCGTCCGTTTGAATCCAACTTTATTGACAGCAGAAGCGCCACCGGAAGCGGTACACACGTGCTGTCTTGAAGAGTTGAAGGTTAAAGAAGAAGCAGCGGTCCGGTTTCTTGTCGGCTATCCGCTGGAGAGGGTCAGGACGGCGCGTTTGCAGTCAGAGCCGGGTGTAAGCAACACTGAAGCGGAGACATGGATCCCATGAAGGCACAGCAGCTGGCGGCGGAGCTGGAGGTGGAAATGATGGCGGACATGTACAACCGGTAAAAAGCCAAAACAAGCTAACCATTGAGCTAGCTGTCTGCAGTTTATGCTACCTCTCTGTCAGTACTAAACCGTGCCCTGGCCTTCATTCATAGTATTTCTGAAACCTGTCGTTATGCGGTGACAAAGGGCTATCTTAAGGTTACCTACGCTCAGTGGAGACTAGCTACTGTGATGCTAACTGCACCCTGTAAGTCAAATGACTGTAGCTACATGTGACAGTATGTCAGATAGTCAGTCGGGCCGACTGTAACGTTACATAAAGCCACATTTTCCTACAGGACTGTACAAGCCACCAATAACAGTGCTGAGTAGTTATGTTCAGTGTGTTTGTCAGAATGTATCGGCTTCAATTACAGTAACACATGACCTTAAACTGAATTAGTGACTCGCAGCTAAGTGTGGCATTGATGTCCTATAATGTTAGCTTTTCATTACGAAAGCACAGTGCAGATTGAGTCCATGAATAAGGACATTAGGGATTCACTTTATTGTTCCATTCAGGATGTCAGGGTGCTGCTGCTGTGCACGTCGGCTCACTGCAAAGGCTGCTGCACTAAACGGAACTGAACCGTAATTGGTGTTATTGGTACCTCCTGTGATTACCTACTGTTTGATGTCACAATGGCTGATGACTGATGAGAGACGGGTGTAGTGGGAACATATTCAGAATATACTTTGGCCTAACAGGTTAATACATGTTCTTCCATGTTGTACAGCAGGAGGGACTTTAAACGTTTCCTGTACAGAAAGTTATATATGAATTAAATCTGTTCATACTGTGCTACTAATAACAGCCTGTCAATGCTGGAGTGAATATAAAATGCTCACATATTGCACGCACACTCTAACAGATGACTCATCCACATATTGTGACTACATTGAGTTGCCAGATTTTAAAAAAAGCTTAAAAAGATGGTTGATTCCCACGTCATCAAATACCGATGCTGGCAATGAAACAATCAATGTTTTTTTTTCTATTTTTCTTGCGTCTGATCTCTCCATAGTTTGGTTAACTTCACTTCCTTGCACCTTGAGGACTGTTTCAGAGTAAAGGAGAGCAAGACTGGCTTGTGTATTAAGGCCAAAGGTTTTACAGTAATATGGGTAGCTGGTAGAGAGCACAGGTGAAGAGCTGACGTGGTAGAACTTGGGGAGTTTTAACTTGAAGTGGCTATATTCTTAAAGATGAGCTGGGGATGAAGATTAGAAGAGGATTAAAACAGCAAGTTGGTCTGAGAACTGAGTTCAGGGGAACTCCAGTGTTCAAGGATGTGCCAACTGTGGATGTGAAAGAGGGACAAAACAACAGCCTTAGAGCTTCAGCTTGAGGTGAATTCACATCTTTTGTCACATCAGAAATTTTGACTTGTCATAGCAAGAAGAGCACAGGCATTAATATTAATGATGGCTGTGTTTAATCGTGGTCAGTGAGCTAGCATGTACAACACCAGAGCCCTGGAACTGTCTAATGTAAAGTAACATCATTAATGGTATTAAATAATAATAATTAACACTTGTGTTTTTTTCTGCCATGACGTGTCAAAATGACGACTATGAAAAAGGCCCATTTTCATGTACTATAGGTCATTTCTGCTGAAGTGGTGCTGTTCAGTTACACTTGAATCGACACTTGAGTGATTGTTGAGGCCGCAGTAGGTAACTTTCATAAAATATGTGCTTAAACCTTCAGTATATAGTAGTATATGAGACAGATAATCTGTGAGTTGTTTAGGTTCCTCTGGCTCCTCCTTGTGCTCAACAATCAATTATCTTCAAGCCACCAACCAAAAGTGTTTCTATTTTTCTTGGGTCTGATTGTTTTTTTTATTTTTTTCCCGCTCAGGCCCGGTGGATTCTTGCAAATGTCATTAGGAGCATTAGGAGGAGCCAGAGGATCATTTTTTCACAGATTATCTGTCTCGTGTACTACTGTGGGGACACAGTGAAAGTTTCAGCTGATAAAAAAGTTGTTTTTGTAAAAGTTACTCCACCTTTAATTATTATATGTACGCTATTTGCAGGCATACACATTAATAATAATTCACTCCTTATTTCTGATTATCAATGAGTATTGTCCCTGTGAAATCAAGAAATAAATTAAGTTCATGTCAGTCCAACTCAAAATGGCCTAGAGCTTTTTTGAAACTATAAATTGTGAAGTCTTCCTTTAATTCAAGCAGAAATTTCTAACATTTAATAGTTCCAGCTTCTCCATGTCCTATAAGTTGGTTAATCAAACATATTTTGGTTTTGTTTGGTTTAAAAAAAATCAGAAAACATGGAGACTGTCCATCACAACCTGACTTATTGAACAAACGAATGATTGTTTCATAAAAAAGAGAAATCATTGCATAATCATCACTGAATAATAATTTTGGCTCTAATCTGCTCACTCTGTAGTGATTCCAGCAGATGGAGCTGTACAGTTTTACCAAGTGACATAATTACACACAATGCTCTAAACACCTGACTGTGTCCTGGCTTCCTTTCCTCCCAGAATGACCAACGCCTGCCACAGGAAGTGTGTACCGCCACATTACAAGGAGGCTGAGCTGACAAAGGGCGAGTCGGTGTGCCTGGACCGCTGCGTGGCCAAATACCTGGACCTTCACGAGAGGCTGGGACGCAAGCTGACAGAGCTCTCCGTCCAGGATGAGGAAGTGATGAGGAAGGCAGCTGTAGGGAGCGGATAGAGACGCTGATGAAGGGAACGAAGTGGAGCATTGTCGGGGATTACACGGTTATGGGGCGGGGTCGGCATGTCTGGTTTCTCTAAAATGAGAGACTTGTATTTTAATGAGCGGGTGGGTTTTGTTGGGGAAAATAAAAAGTTGAGTTAATGCTGTTGAGGGTCCACTGAGGGACACTGCTTCCTCCGCTGCAGCAGAGGATGAGACGTAGGACAGGGCTGGAGGGATCACCAGAGCACCTGGTGGAAGGACAACGCGAGGACAACTTCCAGCCTCTCCGGATGTGCCAGATTATTTTTTTCCCCCCGTCAGCTTGGCCTGGTCCTCAAGAAGTCACCTGAAACTCGACTGGAAACGGACATCTAATATTATTTTAAAGTCAAACTGTGTGATTGTTTTCAGCTGCTTGGAGTGCAAGAACGAAAGAAATACTTTAAAGCGCCATGGTTCCAACCGTCTGGTACTTTGGGGCAGGTTAAAACAAACACTAAGAATGATTTGCATTTAGTCTTTGCTCCCTTTTGATTTGTTGGGGATTTTTTTTAAAGGATAATATCAATAAAACCTTGAAATACAGTCAATCAAATGTATCAGGGTATGCACTGAATTATGTATAGCAGTATTATACAGGATACTATGCATAGTTTACTCTTTTTCAGCCCTGGACGATGCCGTGGTGGCTTCTGTCTGTAACAGCTCGCATACAGACTGCCCGCCAGGCCACTCTGGTTACATGATGGACCTGTGTTGAAGATGGACTGAACTTTGCTCATTTGTCGTGTGTGTGCAGACTGTTGTGCAGTATGTCAGTGGACCATGTTTTTTTTTTTGACTGTGAAACTTTTTTCTTTCCTGTGCTAACCACTGTGTCAGTGACGCAGCTTTTTATCTGCATATTGGAGAAGCTGCACAGTGTTTCATTGTTATAAATCACTCTAATAAAACATCCTTATTTTAACATCATGAGTGGTTTGGAGGGTACTACAGTTTTATTCTCTGTCTACACACACACACACACACACACACCCTCTCACTCACTCTGGTTGTAATGGCGCACTAACTGGCCGAGAGGAGGCAGGGTTCAATAAATAAGTGTCTGTGCCTTTAAGACAAACTGAGGCAGACTAGGTGAGGAAGTGAAGACTACTGAGTTTCGTTTCCTTCGCGAAACTTTTATTTATACCTGCACTATCTACGTCGGAAAGGGGAACTAAAAGCGGCAGAGACGAACAGTAGCACTGTTGGGACAGAGACAGAGGTGTTTCTGTCTCTGCTGGACTAACTGGCAGCCCGCGAGGAGCACCGCGCGAGAAGCATGGTAAGTCATTTTCAAGGTGTTGATAAAATGATAAAATGGTGAAATGGTGAAAAGAGGTCGTTTGAAATAATACCTCTCACTCCCTCTGTCAGAATAGTTCTTATATCCTGAAATATTTTAAAGTCGTATAGCAATATTAGTTTCAAAGGCCATGCAGAGGGGAAAGAGGTCAAACAAACGTCCCACTATCTAGAATATAAACAGTAGCCTACTGTGAGAGAAACACGTCGATAATGAACCTTTACCGTGGTTTATACAGTAATTTAGCTTACATCTATGGAGGCCTACAACAAGTACTGTTTGTGGCATACTATTAAAACACTTTTGAGAACATGCTTAGGACCACATCCTCTTTTCTAACAATGTAACTTTAGGTCATGGTTGTCGAGTTAAAATGAATGGTAAAGACTCTTCAGAACATTAATATATACAGTCATTTACACAGATAGACCTGGTTAAAATCTGCATATAACGCTAACAGCTCGGGGATACTAAAAGAACTTTAAAAAAGTAAATTTTTGGTCAGATTAGGGACCATAAAAATGTTTATTTTTGCAGAAGAAATAAAGCTAGTCCTAACTTTTTTCAGAGGAAGCTATTTTTTTTCTTTGCCCATATTTCTAATTTATTTAATATGTTTTAAAATATATAAACAGATTAAATAGTTACATCAAAAAGATGGTGTGATATTGCCTGTTCCCAGTTCGCTCTCTCAATAGCTGTAATAACAGTTCATTTAATTTATTCTTATTAAAAATAGAAAGTGCCTGCATTTCCCCCATTTTGTTATATTTGCCATGAATGTATTGTTTTGAGATGGTGTGAAGTGAAGGAGTGGATCCGAACTCTGGGGAGGGTCGGCCCTTTAGAGTGTAAGACTCGACACCTGTCCCCACCTCAGTCATTTTCATACAGTCCCTTACCTACACTATGCTTTAACTGTGACTGTGATGTTAGTCTTCATCCAGAAACCCAAATGTTTTTTTGTTTTTAGATTTTTGGGGGCTTTTATATGATAGTGATAGGCGAAGATGGTCAGGAAAGGGGGGCAGAGAGAGGGGATGACACGCAGCAAAGGGCCACAGGTCGGATTCGAACCCTGGGGCCGCTGCAGCAAGGACTCGGCCTCGGTACATGGGACGCCAGTTCTACCCACTGAGCTAACTGGGCACACCCAAATGTTTTTTAACAAAGGATGCACATATAAATTCTACTATTCATACTCAACATATAATTATATAGCTTTAAAGTGCTTAAAAATAGGACAAAAGCTCAATAAAAAGCAACAAATGAATATAAATCATCAAAAGTATATTGTACAAAAACATCAAATTTTCAGTTGCCTTCCTATTATTAGATTTGCCAGCTCTACGTATGTAAACAAAACAGAAAGCAGTTACATAAATGATCTGAATTTCCTGAAAATGCATGTACGTAGTTAAAGAGATTAAGCAAGTGTAAAATAGGTTAAATGCTATTGCATGTACCATCACAGGACCCCACTTTCTTCTAAACTCATCAAGTTAAAAGTTAATAACTATCCAATAATCCAATTTATCTAATAAATCTGTAATGATTTTTTGACGCTTGTGAAAAATCATTTAAAATGTAGTGTCATTAGTTTGTACAGAGCGAGATTAGATAATTTTGTTACCTCATAGGAATCACAAAACAAAAAGTGATTGATTGGTTTTGATGAATGCTTAAGGTGCAGTGAGCCGTCTATTAATCCAGTGTACTGCTCCTTTTGGTCACTAGATGGAAGCATCTGAAAGAGAAGATTTGTTTGGGGCCGATCAGGTTGCAGCGCCTCCTAATGGCGTGGTAAATGAACTACTGAATGTGGATCAAGAAGACAACATGCAGGGCCAGGTGAGCTCCCTGCTATCATGTGAAACACCTTATAACCTCATAACCTGTGATTCTCAGGTTTCCAGTGGAAAACAACACGCTTCTCCATGAGTGTGATAAAATTCCTCAACCTTTGCTCTTATCAGACAGTTGCACAACTATTTGTTTCCCTACTTTCCTCAGATGGAGGAGTTTCTTGGCCCGCAGGCAGAGTACAACGAGGAGGAGGAGGAGAGGAAATATTACAGGAGGAAGAGGCTGGGAGTCATCAAGAATGTTCTCGCCGCCAGTTTTGGAGCAATGATTGTATATAGTGTGTACATGGGTGAGTTTGATTGGAGAAAATACATTGAAATGGACAAAGAAACACACAGACATGTAGAGCACAGAGACAGAGATATGTTATTTTAAATGTGTGTGTGTGTGTGTGTGTGTGTGTGTGTGTGTGTGTGCTACAGGCCTACTGCAGATGCAGCTTATCCTCCATTATGATATGACATACCGTGAGGTAAAGTACAGCAACCTTGGCCTTGAGGACATCGACCGCAAGATGCTGATGGGCATCAACGTCACCCCCATCATAGGCCTGCTGTACACCCCCATACTCATCAGGTACACACACACAAATTATAAAACCTTTCTTTTTTTATTTGAATGCCTTTGCTCTCCCTATACATATATATATTTATCTCTCTGGCAGGTTTCTAGGTACTAAGTGGATGATGTTCCTGGCCTCGGGAATCTACGCGCTCTTCGTCTCAACCAATTACTGGGAGCGATACTACACCTTGGTTCCATCAGCTGTAACAATCGGTGTGGCCATTGTGCCGCTGTGGGCCTCCTTGGGAAATTATGTTACAAGGTCAGAAAAGAGACATGACAACGTCAGCGGCACACAGAGCGTACTGATGGTTTACCACTGTAGTTAACGGAGGATCTGAGTAGATGACTATTGTCTCAGATCGTTGCTCTTACCTTCACCCCACCAAAATGACATCTACATTTCAACTTCACTTCCTTAACTGTTTCTCATCTTACATTACATTTGGTAATCCAGTGCTTAAATGTATAACTTTATAACCACCATCACTATCAAATCTAAACATTACATTAATGTTGAGAGTTTCTAATAACCGTCAAAGCTTTAAAAGTCAAAGTCAAGTGCTGTCAGTGTGACATATTCCCCCCCCCAAAATGATTCCCTTAACATTAACTAGTTGATGCACAGTAATTCAGGAGCTTTTGGGACCCCTGGAGCCAGTTGCTCTCTTTGCCTGGTTGGTAAACCAACTTTGAATGGAGATACTGTTTCTAAATTACTTGAAACATGTCTTTGGCTTTCTTGTACTTCAGTTTGTTATATATATGGTAAAATCATAGCCATAAGGCTGACATGTTTCAAAAATACCCTTTGGTCCTTAATTGAGCCATGATTAATTCACCATTAAAAACTGTCTAAGTAAGATAATACACTCTAGCCTGGGCTGTACTAGGCCTACATAAACTTCTCCTTTGATGGGGCACAAATTGTGATTTATTTAAAGTCTTTTTTGTTTAACCCTTTACTTAAACAGGAACTCTCATTCAGATCATGATCTCTTTTTCATGAGAAATTAGTAACAAGAATAAAAATATAAAGTTTAGGCATGCACAGATATAGAAATGTCCCACACGAGTTAGACATTAGTTTCACATTAGAAAAAAGCAAAACAGGTGGACCTGAATATACTTGAGTATAGCCTTTTAAAATCCTCAAGTGAAGTGAAATGTTTCCGAGTATTATTGTGTCAGCATTGAATTTCTAAAAAAGGATGATAAGCCACTTTGAGTGTTTTCACGTCTGTTCACAGAGGTGTAATAATAACAATACCCCATATTGTTTCAGTCAGTGTAAAGCTCAAAGGACAGTTTGAAAGGGCACTTTTTTTGTTGAAATCCTGTCGATCTGTGCAGTACTGTCTGTTGTTGTCAAGCTGAGATATTTTTTGTCAGCACTTTGTTTTTGTTATTTTCTAAAGCATTGTTTTTTTGTGCGATAGCATGCTGCTGAGAAACCCAATTCCCCCAGGCCAAATGTATTGTTTTTTATTCCAGTGTCTCAAGTACAGTTCTCTGTCATAGACAAGAAAAAAACAAACAAAAATGAAAAATAAGGCACATTCTAAGGATCTCTTTTTTCAATTAAATCAAACAGTGAATTGTAGTATTTTTTTTTTTAATGAATGTGTCTGTGTTTGCTGTTAATTTCTCCTCCCACGCCACTCATCTGCTCTCACAAACACGTGCAGGATGGCGCAGCAGTACTACGAGTACGTCAACTACAAGGAAGAGCATGTGCAGGAGCAAAAGAAGCTTCCTAAGGGAGCGTGCCACACCTACATCATCGTCTTCCAGTCAGTCTTCAACATCATCTTCCATGTGAGTCTTCAGCCATCTTTTGTTCACTAATGCTTCAGCTGACTTCATGTTGTGTTTAACACTGGAGAAGAAGTTTGTACAGCTGCAGAAACAAATTAGCCATCTCTCTCTTCCTCATCAGCTGAGCTTTGTCTTCGCGGAGTTCCCCATGATTTTCATCCTCAACAGCTACCTGCATTACAACGAACATGTTCTCTGCAACGTCAAAGCTTGTGGTAAAGACAACTGCTGCTTCAGCTCCACTGATGGATACTTACAGACTGTGTAAAATGATTCAGACCATCCCATCCAATGAGATATACAAAGCTATAGTTTGACACTTTGGGAAATACTTATTATACTTCTTTCCAAGAGTGAGATGAGAAGATTGACACCATTCTCATGTCTGTGCGGTAAATATGAAGCTATAGCCAGCAGCCGGTAAGGTTAGCTTTGCATAAAGACTGTACAGAGGGGGAAACAGCTAGCCTGGCTCTGTGCAAAGGTAACAAAATCCGACAACCAGCACCTCTGACACTATAAAACCCTTTCTTAATGCTAAGCTAAGCTAAATGGCGACTGGCTCCAGCTACATATTTACATACAGACATGAGCGTGATATTGATCTTCTCAACTAAATTTTCCCATTGGCTCTGTGGAGTCCTTCACCATCCTTTCACTGATTATTGTTGTTGTGTATGTTCCACAGACTCTGCTCTTATCAGCTTTTGTTTTAGCCAAACAGAGAACTATTTTCAACAAAGAAAGCTCTGATAAATTCAGTGTACACTCCTGCCCAACCCCAAACATCAGACACACGAAGTTAGTGACTAGCTGGTGGAACTTTTAGCAGCTAAACACACTGGAACACTGGACTATAAATCAGTTGGTCAGAGACACAACTCCAAATGAATGCTAATGCCGCTTCATTAATGAATGAGCAACACACTCACCACAACTTTAATGATAATTTGTCAAATTTACTAGAGTGAAATTTCTTTTTCATTTCCCTCAATCACATTTGTTAAAAAAACATAAAAACAAAAAACAACCAAAGTGAAAAAGGGCCCCTCGGTCTGTGTCTCATGTCTTCCCATGGTTTGTCCTAGACTGCTTAACAGAAAACCAGTCTCATAGGTTTGCATGAAGTAGAAGCACATGCGCTAGGCAAGTATATACCTTTCGTCTGCTGTATTTTAGTAGCAGCGAGGTGTGAAAGGAAACAAGTTTTCCTCCTACTGTGAAACTAGTGAACACTTCTGCTAAAGCTAAAATGTTTTTCCTGACGTGCTTAACTTCTGCACTTCTGCCCACAGCGCTTCATTTTTATTATAAACAACAATACTGTAGAGGTTCACACCATCGCGTGCCTCACAGACGACCTCTTCAAAATACAAAACCATGATCACACAAAGATCCTAGCTGCTCTGCTAGTTATCCATTCCACTTTTTATAATGTAGTCATGCGTTCGTTGCAGAGATGCAGTCTCATGTGTTGAACAGACAGGACTGAAACCTGTTGGTTGCTTCTCATCACCTCATTTCTAACGGCCGAACCTTCCTCTTCCTCTGCCAGGAGCAACGGTCACTGGAGTGATCCCTGGCTTCAACACCACCGTGCTGATCAACCTGCCTCGCTCCATGCTGCTTATCCAGGTGGAGAGTGTCCTCATGGGCTTCGCCTTCCTCGCCATGATTATTGTAAGATCGAATTTCCCTCACACACACATACACACATTCACACACACACACACACACACACACACACACACACACACACACACACACACACACACACACACACTCACCTCTGACTCCCTAGAATTCAGTGAGTTTGGGTTATTTGTTATGTACGAATTTGATCGTCGGGTGCCTGTTGTACTCTGTTTTGAGAGAAGGTCTTGGGAACTTAGATGGGCCCTGTGTCTCGAGGAGAGTCCCTGTTTAAAAATGTAGTTTAAAGATCTGGGGCCTGCTGGTATGTAAGATCTGTTAAACCTGCATTAGTTAATACATTTTTGCCAGTTGGGGGCAGCACAGCAAATTATATACATGTGTTATATATGTGTTAACATATACACCCAGCAGCTACTTTTTATGTGCACCTGTAAAATTGAATGCAATCCAATTGAATAACTCAAATTCTACCTTTACAAATATAATAATGCTCCGTTTTGATCGACAGTGTCAGAGATATATTAATTTAACTATATGTTTACCATTAAGGTTATAGTTTGCAGTGGAACCTGACAACACCACCACTTACTATGACCTCAGTAATTAATTACAACTTCAACAAAAGCTGGCTGCTATAAGTCTGGTAGAATATGTGGCAGAGCTGTTGTTTGTACTGGAGATTACATTGTGTAGGTGTATCTAATAAAGTGTACGACACACTCATTTGTAAACACTTTATTTATCAAACCAGCAGGCACAAAGCAACATGGCCAATTGACGAAAATTCTGTTAATCCAATGTTCACTCTGTGAATATTGTATATATACAGTATATTCTTACATAGGTTCACCACATAGTTGCTAATTTAAAGTGTGCTCTTTGTTCTTGGTCAGCTTTTCAATGAAACCGTTACCTGATGCTGGAAACGATGCTAATGGGAGCCAAAACAGTGAATTTACAGGCAGTAAAACCAAAATAATGAGCTAAAAGCTGGGGTTGATCAATTGTTCATATAAAAAGTATTCATTAGAGCAGCTTTAAGATGTTAACAATTGAGTAAGAGTCTTTATTATCCACAAAGTAATTTCAATATATAATTAATTTCCATTCATTTTCTAAACCCACAGTTCCTTGTGCTGTGTGGTGCTGCCTACCGCCCGACAGAAGAGATCGACCTTCGCAGTATCGGCTGGGGAAACATTTTCCAGCTGCCTTTCAAACACCTGAGAGACTACCGCCTGCGACTGCTCTGCCCCTTCTTCATCTATAGCGGATTTGAAATGCTGTTTGCGATCACCGGATTCTCTCTGGTACTGCGCTGTCAATGACGTTTGTTGAACAGTAGAGTAGCTTTTGCTTGCATTGCTTCATTTGGTTTGTGTCTTTGGATAGTTTATAATGCAAAATAATAATAATAACAGGGCACATTATGGAGCAGGCAGATTGTGGTACTAAAGACATGAAGTATGTATGTAATATATATGTTTCATCTAATTTCTCTCTTTCTCCGCCTCCACAGACGTATGGTGTCTGCATTTTGGGCCTGAGAAAACTGTGGCTCCTTATACTCGTCTATGGCCTCTCCTGCTCCGTCTTTTCCTCCCTCTCCCTTTGCCTCCTTCGCCTCCCGCGCTGGGTGTGTCTGGTGGCGGGTGCTTTTGTGCATGCGGTGCTGCTGGTGGCTCTCCTGTCGTTTTCTATAGTTCACGACAAAGAAAATCTTAACAGAACAGAGTATCTGGCCCCTCTGCTGGTGATCTCTGTGCTGTGGGGACTCGGCACTGCCCTGAACAAAACCGGAGTCAGCAGTAAGTAACAGCTGTGGTGTGTGTGCGTATGCTACACTAACTTTGTTCACACGTGTATCAGCATGAACTCCTCTGTGTGTGTGTGTGTGTGTGTGTGTGTGTGTGTGTGTGTGTGTGTGTGTGTGTGTGTGTGTGTGTGTATCAGCTCTGCTCGGTCTGCTGTACGCAGAGGAAAAAGAACGTCTGGACTTTGTCTACACCATCTATCACTGGTGGCAGGCCATCGCCATCTTCATAGTCTACCTCTGGTCCCATCTGCCGATGAGGGTACGACTGTGTGTGTGTGTTCAGACAATGTTTAATGCGTGTTTGTGTCTCGAATATAGCACATTTTAAACATCGCTTGTTTCTGTCCCTCTCCCCCAGGCCAAACTCTCCATCCTTTTGTTCACTTTGTTGGTGGCCTGTTACTGTTATTGGGTGATGGAGCGCCGGCTTGCCAATAAAGTGCCCTTCAGGCTGCCACGCATCCCTCGGCCCCGGCACAAGGTAACCAATCACAGTCTGACACACTCACAAATGACTGCCTGAACCGTGGCAGATTCATGCTGTCAGATTCATGCTGCAGTTTACTTGAACAAATAGGGATTCAGTTTGCTTTGTAGCCAAATATGGTAAAACAAATATTGGTGTCCATATGATGTAAAGAAGCAATCAGAATCAGTCTGCACATATGCTGTTATGTTTCAAAATTATAGCATCCTTTGCCAGATGAGTAACAGTTTTGTTTTATATATTTAATTTCAAGTGAGACATAAAACCTTCAAACACTGAATGAGCAGCTTCCCTAAAATGAATAAATGAATGGGCAGCCACACTGAAAGACAGTTTTGTTTGAAATATAAATTGTGGGTATTTTAAAAACCTTCTGCTGGTGTTCTCATGTAGCTGTGAAGTTAAAAAACCTTTTATAGCAGCAAAGCATAGACATTAAAACCCCCCTCCACTGTTTTGCTTATTGTTACATCATTTGGATGTATGACCTTCACCGTGCAGAGTTTAAAACTAGAAGGCTGTTTTTTTCTGTGCTCACCTTAAATCTCATTTTAAGACCTGTACATACGAGCAGGATTTTGTGACATATCACATGTTACATATATATTAAATATGCAACTTACACAGGTGTGATATGGAAACTTGAAACCTCCAACAGACAGACACTGAAAATAACTTGTCTGAACCAGCAGTGAAGGAGGCTGTCAAACTTAATAAGGAGGCCTTTTCAGGTTTGGTTAGGGTCTCCTGACTTTTGGTCAGCCCCAAGGAACGTCTAGCAAACTATCAGATGACTCAGGAAGGGAAAGGAGGGTTTGCCTCAGGCTGCGATCAGTTCAGGAGGCGAACTGCCAACCCTTTGCAGAAGTATAAATCTCACTGCGCACTAGATATCCACTTTTTATTCCTTATTCTGGAGTGAACAATGCTTTTTCATCCTGCATGTGAACAGTTTTATTCCCTCCAGGAAACTCTCTTCTCTCATGCAGAAATAAAGAATTATCTTCAGAGATCTGCTGTGTGGTGAGATTTGAACTACTGTAAACAGTGGTTTGCCCTGCACTCTACCAGCCCTCTATGGAAGGAATCCATTGGCTATGCAGGAGTCAAGTCATAATAATATAGTCAGAGCTTTATCGTAAAACATTTAACTGGTGACTAAAAGGTGAGTGCAAACACAGTTTAACTTAAGAGCGCCTCACTTTGTCTCAGTCACCAACATAACATATTATTTGTGTCTGCAGGTCAAAGGCTACCGCTACCTTGAAGAGGACAACTCAGATGAGTCAGACTCTGAGAGAAGTGAGGAGGATGTTGGAGATGACGAGGAGGACGAAGAGCATGTGGTGGAAGAGATGGGAGCAGAGGACAGGGAGGAAGGAGGCCAAGACGGAGGGGTCCAGGGAGCTGACTCACCCAGAAGCAGGAGGAGAGGAGCTGAGGGTCACCGTCGCAGACGGGAGGACGCCCATGTGAAGTAGGGAGAGAGGGAGGATCGTAAGCGAGGGTGAGAGAGTAGCAAATGAGGGGAGATGGTGGACAGATGACCGATACACAGAAGAGGAGGAGAGTTAGAGACGCGCTGGATGCTGTTGTGTTCATGACTCCATTCATATTTTTACAGATACTACACTAAACAAATCATTTCTTTTCTGGAATGAGCTGGAATTAAAAAGCTCTGATTACCTGTCCAACTGTAACAGCGATCCAGAGGAGAAGGTACAGAAACCATATGGCTATTTAACAACAGATATGACGGTCTTAAAATGTAGTGCACACTGGATAGTAATAATATAATATAATAATGAATATAATAATAATACAACAAGAACCGTTCTTTTTTTTGTTTTTGTTTATTGAGATGAATACAAAGCCAAAATCAATGGCTTGTTTTTTGTATCTTTTTTGTATCTGTAAAACAATATACAAAATACAGAACTAAAAACTAAAAGCAGCAACAACAACAGTTTTGTTTTTCCTTTGCTGCAGTTTGTGGCTCATATTTACAGAATGTACTGGTAATTATAGAGGGAGTTGCAGTTGCTTTTGTGCTTATCCAAGTAAACACACTCTGTAACTTGGTTTCATTTTTAAAAGAGCTTTTTGAGAAAAAAAGAACTGAAAGTGACAGAAAAAGAAATGAGGAATTGATTTTCTGAGTTTATCCTCCGGGTGAAGTGTGTTTTGCTGGAGTCATTTTTAGAGAGTCTGGTCCTGCTGGATGTGAAGAGCGTAAGCAGCATCAGCTATATTTGATCTTCTGTCCTTGTTTGCCTTCAACCCTTTAATTTATGCACAATTTTTAGAGAAAACAAGCCGACTCAAGCTATTAAAAGAAGCTCAGGCATGTGTTTGTTGCCTGATGTATTTCTTGGGAGAAGTTTAATATGAATATGAATATATGTAACAGTGGCCTCAGGGATATGTTACAGTAATTAATGCGTGGACTGGCTCAATTGTTTAATATAGTAATCTACAATATGAAAGTAAACAATATTATACAATAGTATAGAGCCTAGCTAGCTCCACCTAGGGGCTGTGATCTGATAACATCAGCATGCGTGTCTAATATACCTGATGTGCTGATGTTAGCATGTTAACATGCTCACAGTAACTATGTTAACATGTTGATGTTTAGCAGGTATAATGTTTACCATGTTCAATATCTCTGATATGTACTAAATAGCACTAAACACAAAGTGTCTCTGAGGCTGATGGGTATGTCCTTAGTTCTGCAGGTATTTGGGCATAAACCAAAGAATTGGATAATCTAAGCGTGGCTATAAAAAGAGCTGGTACACAAAATAACATATCAAGCAAACAAGGTCAGTTACCTTGAAACTGAACACATATCAGGGCGTCATCATGCCCTTAAAACCCTTAAAAAGGTATTGTAACATTTGTATTAATTTAAGTATTAAAATGTGATACGTTATTGGAGATATTATTTTGTCATGATTCAAAAACAGCTTTGTTTATGCTGAATGCCCAAACCAAGGACTACTAGGTCTTTATCACGTCAAAGCAGGAGAAACAGGTGAGGAAAATAATACAATGAATGGCTGCTGAATTCTGTTTAGCTGCTTCAGTTTCAGGGTCCTGGTGTTGTGTGTGCTGGCTCACTGTCAAGCCTGACTGAGACACTTGAATAGAACACAGCCATTGTAAATGTTATCAGTAACACCTGTGCTTAAGTCAAAGTGTCTGCAGTAAAACAGCCGTATTAATCATAACCAGTTGGCAAGTTTGGAGACCTGCTATTGGATGATTTAGTGATTGTGAGAACACAGATGTCATTATATACAAAACCTGTACAGTATGTTATTCTATTGTGCTTTCTTATCACTCTGTTTCCTGACATGTCTTTTGTTTTTCTGTCCATGTAAAGTTTGTAAAGTTATGTCATGTTGAGCTGGAAACAACAAGGCTTCATCACACTTTCGATATTTTTTGTTTGAGTTGGTTTGATCCAGGCAGCATTCAAAGAAAAGTAGCTAAGTAATGTCAGGACTGCAAGCAGTCATGTTTTCATACTGATGGTCAAACCTTCCTGTATGTTGTAGGTTCGGTACCCAGAGTTTGTATAGTTTATTTTTGGGGGGCTTTTTTGCCTTTACTGGACAGGACAGGAATAACAGGAAAGGGGGAGAAAGAGTGGGAAAGTGACACGCAGCAAAAGCCCACATGTCAGACTACCAGGTGAGCGCCCCCAACAGTTCTCTTTTGTAATGAAAAATAACTCATTAAATCAAATAGCTGATGCCAGTGGTACGCAATGTTGCACTGATCTCTATGGTGTTAATTTATGTAATGTCATGTTACTGACTTAAACAGTGCAGTGTGAACCTCTTTGTTGTTGTGTTGAGGAAAAAACTTTGTACTTCTCTCTTAATTACACCTCTACATTCAACTAAAGATTGTGCTGAACTTACCTGCTGCTCTCTGTTATTGTGTTTGTCTTGACTGGTGGGTGGTATGATGCTAATGTCACTGACTTTATATTATGGCCATTGTGACAGCCAGGCACTTATCACCATGGAAACTTTAAAGTAGGTACTTTGCTTGTGTAAGAGTAGAAATATTATAATTATCTTGAAAAAGAAAACACATTTCAATGTAAAAGTGTCACAAATTTTACATAACTAATTTAGATAACAGCCTTCACTTTCAAATGGTATATTAATGATGCATTATAACATCAGGTTATTATGAACACTTGAACACAAGTTATAATAATGGTACTGGTATTTAAACTGCATCATTTTTGGGTCTTTGTGTTTTCCATGCTTCTGCAGGGATTATCAGATGCTCAATAAATATGGGCCCTGCACTAAACGTGTCCCCAAATAATAAATACTCTAAACATTATGACAGAACATTACATTTGAACTTCTGCACTGCAGTAAATGAACTTTGTAAATGTATGTAATGTAAATGTTCACATATGATTAGTGCTGTTTGCCCAGATGAAACAATGCCAAACATCCTCTCTGCATACATCCACTCAACACAGGAAATTAGAGAAAGAACTGGTCCGCTTCTCAATCTGAACTTTATTTCACTTGTACTAAGACAAAATGAGTATGAACAGAAATAGGAATATGAGCTGGGATAAAGAGGTAGCTGCTACGTCACTGATGGTTTGTGTTGTAAATGAAGCCTTAAACTCAGAACCAAACCAAAGTTCAGGCTCTTTGGCTCATAGTCAGGCCCCTAAAGCACAGCGCCCAGGTGTTAGCCTGAGCCGACACTGTTGCCCGTCCTCATCCGTTTCTTCTCAGTGCCTGATGCGTCTGATGGACTGGATCTTTGGGGTCTGGCAGTGGGAGCCCCAGTTCTTCCAGTGCTGGTAGTCTCCGCTGTGTCTTTCACACTCCATGATGTACTGCTGGCCTCTGTAGCCCGGGTACTCGTAGCACACAAAGCTGAAGAAAGACAGAGGCAGGAGGAGGATGGAAAGTGAGTAAGTGAGAAGAGCTACAGTTACATTTCTGTGTCTTGCTTTAAGTGAAGAAATTCTCCAGGTGGTATTCGATTTAACCACCATTGGGGAAAGCATTCAAATTAGAGTGACACTGTATTTCTGAGACCAATAGCAATATTTGAAAAGTGAGACATTTAAATAATCATGGCAATCTAGTATTTAGTAGTTGTGGAGATATTTCAGTCAGGACCAAAACAGTGGACCAATTCACATTGGCATCCCTAGAGCCATGCTGCTGGGGTGGCTGAGAATAACTGCATCATGGTTTTTAATATTTCACTGAACAGAAGGGTGATCCAGCTGTTAGGACAGTGGTGGAAAGAGTGGGAAACTGCTGGAACGAAAAAAGAGAAAAGTGAAAAGAGCCAGGGGTAAATCTAGATGGGTTGCTAAAGATGCCTGGCCACCCCAAGTGCCACCCCAGTTTGGTGTCAAAAACTGTCAAATGTAACATTAATTTATATTAATTTGATAGTTGGTCAAAAATAACACTTTAACACATACTTAATGATCTGTTCTGCTAATGTTTCAGACAACATGATAGGCTGAAATTCTTCTTACTTTACCAATGTGCCACAATAATGTGTTTTAGTTCAAATATCTTCATTTGCCCCCCCCCACACTTAAAGTCTGCTGTATAAAATGTCTGTTTAATTCTTTGGTACTGAATGTGTTTTTTCTACTCCTTGCTTCATTTTTCCTCTTTAAAGCCCTCTGGAAGTTCTTTATGTGTTGGGATGAAGCACTGACTTACGCTCCGCACTGCACGTGCATGGAGCCCACCTCAGGCCTGAACCAGCCCATGGCCTGCAGGGAGGGGTAGTCGTCGCACAGCTCGCTGCAGCGGCCCATGAAGTTCTCCCTCTCGAAGATCATCATACGGCTGCTTTGGTGAGACTGTGGAGGGGATAGGTGTTAAAGTTAGCGTTAGGCCTGTCAGACAGATGTAAGACAGAAGCACAGAGTTGTCTCATTTCTGTTTCACTCGCTCTTCTGATCACTCCCTCCCTCCCCTCACTATCACTGCCACTGTCGGTCGTCATGCTCTGCAGGTACTCACGGCGCAGTAGATGGGGCGGAAGGACATGAAGCGCTCGGTGTGGTAGGACAGGGAGCCGCTGTAGGCGTCCCAGTTGGGGTACTCGCCTCTCTCCAGGATGAACTGCTGGCCCTGGAAGTCATGGTGCTCGTAACCCACCCAACTGGACACACGAGTGGAAGAACAAGGTGAAGTAGTCAAACAGGTGAGTAAAAATATTAATGTTTGAAAATCAGTGTGAACATAAAACAGGTGACATTAGACGGGGTGAGGAGTAAAAGGAGAGAGTCAGCAGCTGGAACATGAAACCAGTCTTGTCCTTCTAGTGGTCCCAGGAAACAGTGCACCTCATTAGGAGGATGATGGGCGGGTGCATGAAGTTGTTTTAATTAGTTACATTTAACATTCCCGCATTGTATCCACCATTTAAAAAATGTTCACAAAAAAAACACAACCAGGTGTGTCAGCTGAACTGAAGAGGACAGAGTGTACACAGGCAACTTCCAAACTGTCCTTGCTGCTCATTTGGCTGATAACAGGCTGTAGCCTGTAACATTCGTGGCTTGCTATCTGTCCACTTAGTTTCTTCCAAATACCTTGACTTGGTATTCAGGGATTGTATTTTCCTCCTTAGTATACAGTGGTAATGGTAATTTGTGATAATAGTAAAGTTCTCACAATCTGTTGTACTTTTAGTAGAATTAAGAACCGTAGAGAGTCATAAAACAATAAGTACATAACCATCTATTTGAGGTTGATATTTATCACTTCTAAAACTAAAAGAAACTATTTTTTATTTAGAGTTTTTTTTGTTATTAAATAGAACTCCAGGCAGTATATCGGATATTGTGTCAACATAATTATTGTCTTGGGTAAATATCTTATTATATTGCCCTGATGCATGCTGAAGGTGTAAGGTTGGTTAATGAGACGGCTGTTGGAGGGACAATCTGCCAGAGTTCAAATAGTTTTAGTTTTCTGTATTCATGTTCTTTGGCAGTGTCGTCACACACTTCCATGTACCAATGAGAGTGTGACAACATTTGAATCAAAATGTAATGATTGTGTCACTCAGATCTGGTCAAACCACACTCACACAGGGGGTTACACTCTTAATAAATAACACCCCAGGATGTTTCTTCAAAACTTTACCTTTGATTCTTGCTTATTCATACAGGAATATTTAATGATTTCAAGAAAAACATTTCAGAGATGGGAAGTTAGCTAGCAGTGAGAAAACTGGACCACAGAAATATAACAGTACTGACACAGTATTGCATCCATCACAGGGATTGTGGCTTTTTTTTGTCTCATACACTGTCTCACACCATTTTATCAAAGGGATAAAACCACTCATGTGACCTGAAATTATCCACTGCTGACCAATGATAACTGCTGAGCACAGGTGCCAGCCTCCACAAAGTGAAACTCTGCAGTATAAATAGCTTTCAGATTGGCTAAAAAAAAGATGGAGATAAAAACTCTTTTCCCAGCATTTCATCTGAAAAAGAAAACTGTGACAAAAAGAAGACGATCTCCTGACTACTGCTCATACTGGGTGCGCCCTATTGGTGGGACACAGTTACCTCAGAGGTGACATGCTTTAGTGGGAGCCTGGATGTTACTTCCTCTCTCATTATCTCTCTACCTCGGTCTCACAGACAAACACTTAGATAAACACACACACACACACACACACACACACACACACAGTCAGTCAGTCAACTGTCCACAGAGACTTGCAGGCGTACAGGCTGTGTGACTCACGCTCCACTCTCCACTCGGATGGAGCGGATGTTGTCCATGCCACATTCGTGGATGTTGCAGCACTCGGAGGTGAACTCCATACACTTGCCCTGGAAATACTCCCGCTCAAACACAGTCACCTGCACACAGGGGGAGACAGGGGGGAGGCATTATACATGTGTACTGTATACATGTGTTTATGTGTGTGTGTGTGTGTGTGTGTGTGTGTGTGTGTGTGTGTGTTCACCTTGAAGCAAGGGGCTGTACCCATGCCAGGGAAGTACATGGGTGAGGTCATGTGGGTTCTAGCGTATCTATTCATTTCTAAAGCAAAATAGAAAACAAGAAAAACATTAGCAGATGTATCAGAGGAGTACACACAGTAATGGTGTTAGTATGAGCACATTCTGATTCACTGGATAACGAGGAAAAAACGGTTCCTTTAAGTGAACTTTTTTTTTAATTTAACTCATATTGTTTCCTCCATATCAATTAAGAATTGAACTTTCATCATACAGCCAACATGTTCTTCAGAAACAACGAGCAAACACATTTAATCCGTTAAGTCCATCCCGTGGGAAACTTCTGTCAGTCACTTTCCCGCTCCTGCTTACCTGGATGCTCTCCTCGCGCTCCTCACCAACCAAATCCTCTTTACGTAGACTTTTGTCTGAACCTGGCGCTTCTGTTTTATACCGGCGTCCACGCGAGGACCTCGTGCTTGCGCGTGTGCGCGTGATGCCCCTCCATTCTGATGATGTGAACGAGGCGAGTTTGTCAAGTGCCACGCTCGCGCGGATTTAGGGTCTTACTTCCGGTCAGAGACTTCAGCAGTCTATTGAACTCTGTTTTGTACAGTGATATTTCGAAGTAATGCACAGTAAGAAATTGAAAATGGAAAACACAATCACACAAATATATGATTGTTAAGTTATCAGATTTTTCTTTTGGCCTCAAATGAACTGTTCCACGAGCAAGGATTCATAAAAATGTAACTACAGCTAAAAAGATTAGCTTAGTCAATTAGACTAATTGATAATGAATTAATTACACTTCTCACAAAAAGTTAGGGATATTCCACTTCCGGGTGAAATTTATGGAAAATGTAAAAAGTTGATGCTACAGTGATATTATATCATGAAAGTAGGGCATTTAAGTAGAAGGTCAAATTAAGATCACCTGGAAAGGTTATAGTGCATTTTATGTACATTCTGAAATTTCATCCGAAAGCCGAAATATCCCTAACTTTTTGTGAGTAGTGTAAATATCAATGATGCCAACTTCTTCAATGTGAGAATTTGTTGCTTTAAGTAGATTTATAACTCATAAAGTATGTGTGAACTCATTTTATAAACTAAACAATTAACTGATTAATGAAGGGCCTAAAGTGGACAGATTCTTATCAATAGTGAAATTGTTTGAGTTTGAGTGATCATTCCTATGGAAGTCCAATATTCATGTTACATAATGTTAGGCCTTGCACTTAATCAATAATGACAATAATAATTAGTTGCAGCTCTACATGGAAACTCACTTCTGAACTATTAAGACTCTTATTTTGAAGGCAGAGGGAAGAAGAGTTCCGGTGTTCCCCTGTCTAATTGTGATTAACGTGACGCAGGTGAGAGTGAGCGTGACCCTCACGTGCGCTCCTCTGTGCTCATGTTTGTGCGTAAAAAGCGGTTTGTGAGCGCGTGCCGGTTAGCCGGCCGCTCGGCGCGCGCCCCCAAACTCTCTCTCTCTTTCTCTCCCACTGTCTCTCTCTCTCTCTCTCTGTCTTTGTAACCCTATGCGGCCTGTCGACTCAGCAGATCATATAGAGGCAGGCACAGAGGTGAGGGTGGGGAATGCGGGGCTGTTGTTGGCCTATTCGTATAGGTCAGCAGTGCCATCGTATAGAGCAACAATGGCCGGGGCTATAGGCAGAGAATGAGAAGGATTTGGAGAGCCATCCGGGAGCACGTTTCAATGATGACTCCCAAAAGTCGAGGAAATTGGGACAGAGGAATTCAATTAATGAGGATAATAATTCATAGTAACAGTATAGTAATAGCATTCTCTTAAAATTAAAAACATATCTAGAAAAATGGTTTAAGAGAGTTTGTCTTAAACACACAGAAACACTGAACAATGAAACAATAACATTTGAAATGCTTCCATGATGAAGCTGCACCAGTGTCCTGTCCTCAGAACATTTTTGCTCTGATGTTTTAATTCAATCCCCCTACCCAGTCCATCACTTTAATCGGCAATGGGCCACAGTTGCCACAGCAACCCCAACCCCCATGCCCCCACCTCACATCACCTCATCTGGTCTTTGGCCCTTGAAATTTCATCTAGAGAGCACAAGAAGAGGCACCAAGTTCCTCTCAATGACAGACACACAAAGGCACCAACGCCACCATTTTCACAACAAAATCTCAGAAGTGAACGTCCTGCTTCCTCTCTTCATTAGTTTAGAATGAAACATTTATGTACGTGGTGAGCTGTTGTCCTCTCTGAATTTTTCAGGTAATCCCTCTCTCCTGTGTAACTGAACTGAATATGAACTACTCCACAGAAGACAGCCTTTGACTTAATAAATCTAATAGTGATATACATAATAGCAAGGGCACCATCAGGATGCTGCACTTTGTTGTATTACATATTCTTAGTGTTATGGGTTAATGTATTGCCGGATAAACAGATGTTCTGCTATATGCCTGTATATGAAAGGCAAAACATAAAATGTCAACACAGGAACAATGAACTGCTATATCTTTCTGGACTGTGTGAAGGAACATCCATCACGCTTTATTGAACTGAAGGTGTATTTCTGAGTTACATCAGACGTTTCAGACAACATACAGATTTTGTGGCTTAGATTGCCCTAAAAATCACAAATACAGGTGGGCCACAAAGTAAAATGACGATGTCATGTTCCCGTCATGTTTCCAGCTGTGCCAGATGTGAAAATGTATACCTGCAAATAAGAATTTTTCCTTTTTTATCTACAAAGGGAGCGGGTCCTCTTCTATGGAGCTGGCCATATTGAACTGCCATGTTTAAGGCCAGAGCGGCCACTGTAGGGGTTTCAGTTTGTTACACACTGGTCCTTTTAAATCAAATAAAATCAAGTTCTCTGACAACACAATGCATTCTTTATTGTTGGGTAAAATTATATTTTCTTTTACAAATCCCCTTTGCTTATGCTTTGATCTGTGATGTGTAGCCTCACTCATTTCTCCTCATCTGCTCTGAGAAGTGTTTTGTCAGCTTGAATGTCTTTTTGGATGGTGGACCCCGACTGATCCAGTCACTGAATCCAGTCCAAGGTGTAGGACCTGAGTCTGTCCTCCAGTCTCCACTACAGGACGGAGAACAGGCAGACGAGGATGCATAAATTAGAGACCTGCCCCAGGGTGCTCACTTAATTTCCCCTCGCTGTCGGACACTTCCCCTTTTTTTTCTACATTCATGTGACTCTCAGCAGTCACTGAGTGGGGTAAGTGTGTGATTCACCCCTTCACACCGCGCTCCATGTGACCATTCACTGGTGTGAGCATTTGAGGATATTCAAATCTGCAGGATTTCTATGAGGCCGGCCACTGAATCCACGATATGATCAGTTTCACCTCATCTGGTGAACAGCTGCGGCCCTTCCTGTCCTTATCAGGACACGTGACCGGGCCTGCGCAGCCACAATCGACCAGTTTGCTTGTTCCCTCGTGAGCACTTTTCGCATCTCACAGACTTCCCTCTTGCAGCCAACGCCCACAACAATATTTCACCCTCCCACACAAGGAAAAAGACGAAGGGCTTTAATTTAATAGCTTTCTCCGACTCCCACTGTGAGGAGGGAGATTCAGATTATTGTCCATGCACACTCTGAACCACTTTGTTCGCCCAGAGGTGGAACAGCCAGGTTATTGCTTCTTACAGCTTATTGCTTTTTCCTGTTATTATTTGTCCCAGTGCCTCTTGATTACAGCAGTGGAGGGAATGGGAGCGAAGAATTCTGTGACAGGCCGTTAAATGTGAGCCTGGTCAGCCTGGGTATTAATATTATGAATCTCTTATTGGGGCTATGGCCTTAGAAAAAGACTTTGCATGTAACATGTACAAGTAAAAGTCTCACTTTAAACTGACTGCACTCTCTTGTTAGATCCTTAATTTATGTCAACATCAAGTTATTATGTTAATTTGCCTCCCCTGAGGCCAAATATACATTGATTGTCAGTTTGTCTCTTGTTTCAACCTATATTTCACTGCCTCTCTTTTTGACCCTCTGTCCCTCTCTCTCTCTCTCTCTCTCTGCCTCTCTCTCTCTCTTTGATGATGGGGGTATTTCTATTCTGTGGGGGCTGTGAGCTCAGCGAGTTTGTTTCTGTGTCTATAATCCCCTCTCTCTGGGCGCCAGCATATAAAAGCGTCGAGGGGCCTGCCGCACTCTCACACAGACCACCAGTCTCACCCCCGAGTCTACTCCTTTACGCACACACTGCCACAGGTAAGACAGTGGACAAACATCTTACAGAACGAGAAAAGAAAAGAAAGGCGGGAGGTAGAGAGCAAGAATAACCTGATGTAATACCTAAAAATAAGAAAATGTTATCATAGTTTGAGCTCAAGATATGTGTCTTTCGCGCAAATCAATAATAGTGGACAATAAATGCACCGTGGCCTGTTTATGTCAGTATAAACTGTGCTAAATATAATGCTTGAATCTAGTCAGGTTGGTTCCACAAATACAGCACTTAAATTGCCAGAGTGTTCTGTTTTTAATTTCAGGTTCAAACCTCAAAAAGATTTCAGGCTACCAAAAAAAAAAAAAAGTTAATATGTTTAAATTTAAAAATGTTTGTTTTGGTGATTTGCAAAGAATGAACGCCTGTAAGTAATATTTACTTCATTTTGTTTTGTACCGAGGACTTAGGTAATGTTGATGGGTTTTGATGCAAAATATTGACAAGATAGTAATTTGTGTGTAACTATAGAGGGATTTGCTTTAAAAAAAAAGTTGTTTAATGTTTACCCCCCTCACCCCAATCCTTTTCAAACAGTCTCTTAATAGGACAGTAAAAGACAGCTGATAAACAGCGATTCAAAGCATCTTTTCTTCTCTTCTCAGTCATCATGTCTGGAGATAAATCCAAGTCTGCTTCCCAGACTGATGGGAAGGCGGCTCAGAACAAGATGTCTGAGATGGGCATGATGTCCTACAAGGTACAGTCACACACACACACACACACACACACACACACACACACACACACACACCACACCACACACACCAGATGATCACACATCTGCAAATATATCATACAGTGTTTTATTACACTGTGTGAAGCAGCTGGCCTCTGTAACAGTTTACCTTCTGAGCTGATGTTTATTATCACAACCTGCTGGTTACAGCTCAGTGAGTGGGCGGTCAACTACTACAACTGGCCCAAAAATACCATGTGAGGCTAGTGTGCGTTAAGTCACTGGGGATAATCATAACAACACAGCAACATCATTTTACTCTGCCTCTCTCTTGTTTGGCCACTTACAATCTTCTACCACAGTCTTTCCCTCGTATTTTGACTTTCCACAGATGTTACCCTTGACTTTGAAACCACCTCTGTGACCTCCTCTCTCACTCCCATTCTCTTTCTCTCTCCTTTACCCCAAATATCCAGATGTGTGTGTATGACCAGGAGAACTTCCAGGGCCGCTGTATTGAGATCAACGCCGAGTGTATGAATGTGTGTGACATGGGAATGGATAGGGTGCGCTCCCTGCGCGTCGACTGTGGCCCGTAAGTAGCTTGTGCATGTACAGCTGCACGCACGCACACACCCACCCACACACACATGCAAGTGCCTATAATGTACCCAGCACCCACACTCCTCTGAGCGCAGAGCCGGTGATTTCAGAATTGTACCCCACCATTATGTGACATTTCACACTTCACATTTTGGGCATTTGGATAATGCTTTTATCCCGAGTGATTTGCAGAGAGTGCAGCAGTAGATTGAACTTCAGTGTCTAAACTAGTAACATAACATAGCAACAAACAGCAGTGACTGGAATAAATGATCACGTGAACGATGTGGAGCAATAATATAATCGAAGAAAATAAAAAGAAGGAGATGAGGAGAATGTTTTTTTCAAAAGTAAGAGCAAATAGAACAGAAAAATTATTCCTCAAAGCATGTCCATTATACAGCACCTAAAGGGGACACCCAGTGATTTTGTATTGCCACTGTGCAACACTAAATCACTGGATGTCCCCATACTCAAAATCGGAGCAGCAGAGGCTGAGATTTCCTGACTTACACTGACAGCGTCATCAGGCTTGTTTCTCAAACTTTGGAAAGCTCGTACAACTTTTGTTTTCGGAAGCTGAGTAGTGCTCTTCATGATGACTAAATTTATCTTCATGCATAAAATCAGTGCTCCCTTAGAAGGCAATACAACAACCGTACATCACGCTTAAAGCTCATCACCTCTCTCCCCTCTCGTCCTCGTGACCTTTCCTCCCCTCCCCAGCTTCGTGGGCTGGGAGCAGATGAACTTCTGTGGTGAGATGTTCATCCTGGAGAAGGGCGAGTACCCCCGCTGGGACTCCTGGAGCAACTGCCAGAAGAATGACTACCTGCTGTCCTTCAGGCCCGTCCGCATGGTAAACCCGTCAACAAAATACTCTCCTGACTTTGGCAGCTTGTATCCATACACCTAGTTTGCTCGGCTTTTCTTCTCATTTCAACCACTTTCTCCGCCAACTTTTAGGACCCCGAGAAGCACAAGATCTGCCTGTATGAGGTTGGAGAGTTCAAGGGTCGTAAGATGGAGATCATGGACGATGATGTCCCCAGCCTGTTCTCCTACGGTTTCACCGACAGAGTTGGCAGCATCATGGTCAGCTGTGGAACGTGAGTATGGCGACACATTACTAGCACTTTCTCATCTTTTATGAAAGAGTTGCTTGCAGTTTGTGGGAAATACACGTATTCGTTCTCTAGCCAAGACTTAGATGAGAAGATTAATAGCACTATAGCACTGTCATGTCTGTACATTAAATTGAGCCAACAGACGTCAGCAGCTCAGTGTCTGTGTCAGAGGTGTGGCAGGAAACAGAGGCTGTTTTTGAAATGCTGTGATTACTTCATTTGTACTGCTCCTCGCTGCCTGAAAGAAACAGCTGGGAGGCAGGCTGCACAGTGGTTTTGTTACCTGACAGCATGACAAACAGATCGATGTCTTTATTAGATGTTTATCCTCCCTGATTTGTCTCCATCTGTGTTTCTAGCATCTTTCTCTCACATTTTATGTCTGTTACTCATCTTTCAACCTTGTGTTCTTGAATCAGTTTTTTCTGATCAATCATGTTCCTACCCACCCATCACTTTCTGTACTGCTACAACCTTGCAATACATGCCCACTTTGGTGTATGTAAATGTAAATTTCCTCCCCCTCTGCTCTTCCCCCGTCTCCCCAGCTGGGTGGGCTACCAGTTCCCCGGCTACCGTGGCAGCCAGTACCTGCTGGAGAAGGGCGAATACAGGCATTTCAATGAGTATGGTGCCCGCTGCCCCCAGATGCAGTCCATGAGGCGCATCCGTGACATGCAGTGGCACCCACACGGCTGCTACACCATGTCCTCCAAGTGAAACCCAGCGAGGGCGAGGAAGAGAGGGATCAGAGGAGAGCTGGAGTTGGAGGGCGGGCACAGAGATGGCGTAGGAGGCGAGGGAGTGAGAGCGAAGAAGGAGAGGAGGAGGGAGAGGATGTAATATTTCCTCCTCTGTCCCAAAGTCTCTTAGTGGTTTGAGTGCAGCATGAAGGGAATACAGTAGGTTGTTATTTTTAGTTGTAATCTAGCGACCAATGAAAAGTTATTCAAAGGGAAGGAGGAGATAATTACACAGACAATATCTGATAATAAACAATTTTTGTTCTCCCTTTCGCACCGTCTCTGTTTGTCAGCTCCCTTCTCCCCACTTTCCTCTCTCTCCTCCCCTCCCCGCCTCTCTCCCCCTCAAACTTCTCTTCCACATAACACCAACGTCAGCCCTCACTCAGCCCATTAGAGCCTGAATGACGGCAGTACCAGTGTGGATTTGTGTGTGTTTGTGTGGTGGGGGGAACTGAGACAGAGGAAAACAGCAAAGGAAGTGGTGGTCAATTCTCTGAGCTCAGATCCTGCAGTCACATCAACCCTAAACCCCAATAAAGTATCTCACACCCTGTTCCACTTTCAATGACGTCTTATTTAACAGATATGGTTGTGATATATATCTCCCAAATGCATGGACTGATTATGAAACAATGGACCCCTGGGCATAGACACATAACCTCTTCCTACCTACCCAAACAGCCCCCACCACCCTGCACATTATTTTGCTCTCTAAATGTGAGCTTTTGGTTGAAAAAGGATCCTGAACTTAAAGCTGCTACAATCAATATGTGTTTTGTATTACAAAAGTTGCTCACAGTGACAAACCAATAGAATCATCACCCGCCATTTACACCAAAAAAAAAGCTCTGATAAACCAACTGTGCACGACCTGCCCAGGACCAAAAAACAAATACAAAATAATGGCATCTAGCTAGTGAACAAAGTAACAGCTTAAGAGCCAGATATTTCCTTGAGGAGCAAAATCAGAACTAAAGGAGTTTCAATATAGGACCCAGATGGCCAGCAATACAACTCCAAATGAATGCTAATGTGGCTCTGTATCTTATGGATGTGTAAATACTAAATAGGCACCTTTTTGCTAACCAGTTCGTATTCTAAACTTAAAAGGAGATAATATGTCATTGGTGTGTTTATGGCATGTATCTGCTGCCCCCTAGTGTCAGAAATTTTAAATTTATTTCTTTTAACAAAAAAATTTTGGGGGTGGTACCCAAGTGAAAATTTTTAAGTTTTTGGGGTAAATTTGGGGGTAGCTCAACGCTACATTAGCTGCTAACACATCCCAGATTTTTGACCTAGCTGTTGGCAAGGAAGAAAAATTTGAAGCAAATTTAATCAATTTTAAGTTTTCCTGCTGGACACAAGGTGTCTCCTACCTTACTGTAAAGTCCATTCTCAGTGGCTTCAGGTTTCTACATCACACTGTACAAGTTGCATACTGGACCAGGACTGACTTCCAAACTATTTGCAATGTCACAAATCATGCTCATAGGCCCCACTGAGCACAGAGAAACTTTCCAATTTCATAACAGGCACAGTTCTTGGGACTTTAATAACAGCTACAATTGCTGGGTTTAGCAATCCATCAATGCTCATATTAGCAGTTATGGTTTCAGTGTCTTGTCACTCTGACTCTAAACTGGAATTGCTCAGTTCATTTGTGTTATTATAGAAAAATGTAAAGGAGTTCGATTTCCTGTCAGAAACCTTTTGTTATCTCTCTAAGACACAAACACACACTTTTATTGACTTACTTCACAGACTTCAAATAACTTTCAATCGACCGGCTCTCTGGATTTGTTATTGTTAGAGCACGCCTTGAGGTAATTTGCCATTTCTATCCCCAGTCCACTCACAGTGTGATCACTCAACATAATGCCTGCTGCAGAGGCTGATATTTGATTTGCACTGATGGAAAATAATTTGAACCAACATCATTGATGTGTAAAAGAAGAAAGCACTCCTCTACCACTGCACTCTCTCTGAAACTGTCTTTCTATGATGAACAATTTCATGCATTATTTACTTTCTCAAAGAGAATATTGATGTCCGGTGTGGTCTGTACACGTCAGCACAGAAATGGACTTTACCACATTTTAGCGTTTAGACTTTCTTTTTATAATATAAAATCAATTATGCAGTGCTTGCTTCTTCCCCAAGGCTTATCAAATATTCAAAAATACGAATCTACATCATTCACGACGTAATCTGCACATTCTCTCTGTGTGGTGTGGTGTATCCACGGTGTGACGTCAGTGCTTCAAACCATACAAATACAATGAGGCAAATTTCATTAAACTGCATTAGAGTATCATTCAATCATTCATGATGCATAAATACGATTCACTATGTCCTTTTATTTGCTTTTTGTTCTGCCTCACCAACCTGCTGACCAATCTATACACTTTCTATTTCAATACAACCAAAGATGTACACACTCCAACAAGAAATTATCTAATGCAACACAATAACAATGTTTATTCCAACTGTTTCAAATGTGTGTCAGCTCAGCAAAGGGGGTTAAAGTTCATACACAGTTATTCTTTAAAAAGCAGTATCCCAATGGCAAGTGCTAATGCATGAAACATCTTTGTATAAATATTTTGTCCTTGTATCACCTCACTAAACTCCTGATTATGTAAGTGTAATTACTGGCAGCTCCATTTTTATCTTTAAGGTCATAACATTTTGAAGGCAAACAGAGCAGTGTTAGCCAATGGAGCATCAGAGGGGGAAGATATTTTTGGTTTTCAGGGTTCTGTAAACAAACCTGTAGATCATTTTCTGCACAGGCACAGCTGGAGCATGATAATTAAGCTTTCCTGACTAAATTGACTGTGAAAAATATGAAAATTATAATAAGATATAAGATAATAATCAGACTTACTGGTTGAAAAGTGAAAGGTGAAGGTCTGTATACATGAAAAATATGAGGTAAGATGACTACAACTACTAACTTAAAATGATGTTGCCTGCGCCTCTAATGGCAAGTTGAAGCTTGAGTTTATGTTTTGTAGACTCCTGTTAATAATTGATAGATTTTGCATTTTAGATCAATTCACTCTTGGATTCTGGGTTAGTGTTGGAAGAATTCAACACTGATGCAGTGTTTTTGTCCCAGTTGCAAAGACGAAGCCCTCTGAATTTGAAATAGGTGCCTGTCATTCTGGCTGGTTTCTTCCAGCAGCAGAGGCTTATGGGTACAGTAGAATTTAAAGTAACTGGTGAAACCAAACAGAAATAATGATAATAAAATAATATTTTATATATATATAACGCCTATAATTATAGTATCAATAAATGAATCCTTGCTGCCATGACGAGGGACATGAAGATTCAGATGTGGGTCCACCTCCTGTGTTTTTCTCCTGGGGCGGCTAATTGATTGGCAGGCGTGGGTCATTCAATTACGAGAACAAATTGAAATTCTCAGTTATTACATGAATGAATATTGTACAATAAAAGGAGACTTCCCAGATAGAGTGGATACAGCTGTAGCAGGCAGTCGTCACCACACAGACGTGGGTGGAGTGAGCAACAGAAATAGCAAAACCAATGGGAAGAGGTGTTTGAGCTGAGAAAAAAACATTATGACACTTAAAGACACATAACTTCTGGCCTCATTGCATTCACCCCTGATGTTTCTGAGTTGTTTGTGTTTTAGACTACTTACTCTTTTTTGTGCTGTTAAATTAAATTATAGATGCACAGGGAACATCTCTTCATGACGTCACGTTAGTTTGAAAAAAATTTAATAAAAAAATCCAAGCTACTTTGTTATAGTTGCTCTTGTAACCGGGGCAAAAGGTTTTAGAGGTTTATTTTAACATGTGATGATGCACCCATTTCAGCGCATCCCTCATTATTTTTTCGTCCCTCCTCTCTGAAATACTTCTGAATCAAAAAAACCAAATTCAATTAGAACACATTCCCATGTAGTCCTACTCCAGAAATAAACTCCCTCAATTCAGCCTGGCCCTCCTCCTCCCTTCAGACTAGAGAAGGAAAGGCACACTTCACCTGTCACACAGGCACCCAGTTTAGTTCAGTCTATAAATACATTGAGATAAGACACCTACAAGGTGCTATGAGCCTTCCTCACTATGTAGTTAAATATGGATTGGAGGAGTATTGACGTCAGACTGACACGCACGCACACACACATGCAAATACACACAAGTTAACACACACACACACACACACACACACACACACACACACACACACACACACACACACACACACATATGGACGCTCATATGCGAGTAGACCCGAGCACAAGCTGGCACACTCATACACACATATACACACGCATACAGGCGCTCTACACTTATTTCCAGCCCTGCTTCTGATGTCATTCTGTGAATTGGGACTGTTTCAGCAGCAGGGCATTATGGGATAGCTTATAAGAGCTTAATGACTCCTCTAGGTACAACACTACTAAATAATGGGTAGAGAGTGAGTGAGAGGGATGAAAACACACACCCTCACACACACATGCATGTCCATCCGATCTTCACCTTCTCTTTTCCAATTCCAGCGTTACACTTCTCACTCCATCTGGTGATTTAGCAGCTCTATCCAGCTGCCTGGCTGCTTAGGCAGGAGGTAATTCACCACAGCCGATAAAGACTCATAACCTGTTAAAGATAATGAAGTGCGTGCTCACACTTTCTTTGTCAACTTATCCTGCTCGTCCCTGGGGGGTAAGGTTACTCAGGTACCAGCCTCGAGGGTTGAAGACTTTGATTTTCAATCTCTGTAGAGGAGAGGATGCACAGCTGAATCACAATGGAAGCCTGTAGTTTAATTGGAATTTAAAAGGATCATCGGCGCTACAGTCCCGTCTGAGTCTCCTGAGAGCTGCTTTATGGAGGACCAAACCTCTTCAATAATCAAATAAATAAAAAAAATGTGAATTCAGTAAAAGTAAATTAATAAAGAAACAAATAAAGAAACAAAAAAATCCATACATGTATTATTTCTCATATCTAACATTCAGTGTAATTTCCTTAAACAAGATTACACCCTCATATGTTGCATATTGGAAAAAAAAAAATTAAGCTGTCATCAAGTGGAATTGAATCATGAGAGCTGCTTCATGGAGGAGCAAACTTGACTGAGCAAAAGTGAAATAAAAACAAAATGGAAAAAAAATCATCAATCATCAAACAAATTAAAAAATCAATCAGGTGTAATGGTTGGGAGTTTTACAATTTAAGTTTGAATTAGTCAAGAAAACCACTCTTTGTGTACATATATTAGTTAAGCATTGAGCTGAGTTGAAAATGTTGTTACAGTCATTCAAGCCTCATGTATTTATCATGTGTGCTCACAGCGATAAGCGGCAACAACAGTCAGTTTTATGCCCTGGATCTTTCCTCCCAGGCTACATACAAGCTGCCCTAAACCTCTGATTGGTGGGAGAAGCCTAGGCGGAACTCCTCATGCTCCTCTATGGTAAACAATAGCTTTTTCTTTTAGATATATTTTATTTTTGCCTTTATTGGATAGGACATTTGAAGATAGGAAAGCAGGAGAGAGAGAGAG